GTCGTGGGACCAAAAGTGAAATTAATTCTTTATTTAAACATAAAGACACGTAGGAATGACATGACATAGGATGGTACAAGTGGTCCATAAAGAATCTGCGAAAATACGCAAAGACAAAAGTGACCGAGAAAGATATGACGGTGGGCCCCCATGGAGCTCCAACTTGTAGTTTGCTATTCTGAGACGCCCGACACGTGGAGGATGGTGAGTTATGGTAGTACGCGTGTCAGCGTACGGTTGCACATTGACAGCTAAAACGGGTTGCAACTTGCTGACACTACGTGGCCAATTGCATTAAAATTATTTAGAATTCTATTACATATAATAAATCTGTACATTTTAATATATACTCCTATATATATATATATATATATATAGAGGTTCATATGAGAACTTATATTAACATGTGAACTTGAGATTTAATCTGGATTCTTTATCTAAGTTAGTAGATGGTGCATGTCATATATAACACAATCCACACACGTAGTACACTGCAAACACAATGCACACACGTTGTGCATCACGTCCTGATTACTGTGAGACTAGTGGAGTAGGTAAATTGTGAAATTTGTCTTAATTGACATATATGTCTCAATTGTTTGTACACTTACGTTTACAACAAAGCTAAATCTTCTTCCAAAAGTTTGAATACCCAACCCCAGTGCCCTCCCCCCCCCCCCCTCCTCCCACCCCCCACACACATCTGACTCGATACACAAGGAATCTGTCTGTTTTGGGCATAATTCTCACACTAGGGCCAATGCAGGTGCACACATGAAATCTGTCCACTTTGAGCAATTAGACATAATCCTACACTGTCGTTATCAAAGTTTGAACTTTAATCTCTTTCCTCAAATATTACATTCTGAATCAATGAGTTTAATCAGTGCGGGTCGTAAAATCTATACACACTATACCACTGCTAAGAAAACAAAACTAATGAAATTTAGTGTAGTTTAACTTTAAAGGATTCATAATTCATGGCTCTCCGAGAAAATTATTAATATTATTCCAAAATTTTTAAAAATGTTAACAATAATGCACTGTATAATTATCATTTTGGGACCCATGCGTCATTCTCCAGAGTGTATGCTAGTCCTAATCCACCGTTTGGTGACGGCGAGTCATTTTCTAACGAATATTGATGGAATTGGTTTTTGACAACTATGTTACACCTAAAGTAAGGTTTAACGACATTCAGCCACCAAACACGCCTTAAAAGTAATATCTTTCAAATGTCGCAATTGAGGACTTAACGATAACAAACCTCACCAAAACAACTTCATCCCCTATGAATCTCAATTGAAAAAGAAATCACTAATATTGAAAGTGTGCCTTGAATCTTGAATGCAAGACGATATTAATGTTTTACTTGATTTTATATTAAGTTATAATCATATCCATTAATTTAGTTATTTATCAATAATAAATAACGAAAATTAAGTGCAGAAAATAAATCAAGTACACAATAAATTGTTACGCAGTTCGGAGCGCTTCTCCTACGTCTGCGGGGCAACCCATGTATGCCCAATCCACTATAGATATTCACCAAGGAGTTTTACAAAAGGTAAGTACAAATGGCTATCAGTCGTTACTATCACAGCTCTTCCTAACATCTACTCAGGACTGAACCGTGCATGCCTTAACAATCTTTAAGTGAAGCTTCAGCTGACCCAAGTACAGATAGTACATCTCAAAATAAAAACCACATAGAACAATGTAATAAAATAGATTAAGAAGATAGCACTGTATAGAATTTCCCCACTCTCAATTTGGCAGTTCTCAATTCGTCAGTTTCCATAATGGGATGCCTTCATTTTATAGTAATAATTACTCCACCAGCTTGATTCATATTAATAGCATGTCATTTGCTTCGAAGAACCACAACCACTCTTTTAAATAGTTTTAATTTTGAAATCCGCATAATAAGCATCCACCAAATACAAGTTCTGCTGACTTTCCTTTCTCATGTAACCAATAATTAATAGTCATTCAAATAAATATCATATGATAGGAAAGGGTCCAAAGAGCTCATCCTAACTTAAATCTATTTAAAATAAAATAAATTAAATTAGCCAACATAAGTTTTAGAGTGTACTAACTTTGTACACTTAGAAATATAATATTTTTTATATACTTAAAAGATCATTTTTAAAATTATATTTTTAATATATTACCTAAAAATAAACTTAAAATACATTAAAAATAAACATTCTGCATATTTTACTTCGTGCCTTGCATTATAATTGAAATGAATTCTGAGTGAAAGTTTGTGAGCAAGGACATATGAGACCCATGAGCAAAATATTAAATTGCCCTCATCATTTACCTATTAATATTTTCCCGCTACTTCTTTTCCGTAATTTGATAGGAAAGATCGAAATTGTTAAAATTCGAATAGCTGTGGAGTCAAATGAATAGTTTTTAAACTTGTGAACCCCAATAGTCATAGGACCAAAAGTGTTATATCTTTTAAATGTTATAATTGATAACTTAACAATAACAAACCTCATCAAAACAACTTCATCCACTATGTAACCAAATTGGAAAATAAATCACTTACATAATGATTCATTTTTAGTACGTATACTAGAAGATTATTTTTTAAAAAATTTATTTTTAATATATTACCTTAAAATGCATAGAAAATAAACATTTGGTATACTAAAAATTAACATTTATTACCCATGGACCATGGTCTATAGTATACTTTGCCTATCTTACTCCATGCATTGAATTCTAGTAGAAATGGAATAAATTGTACAGGCACGACCATCTTAATTGATTTCTGAGTGGAAATTCGTGAACAATGTTGCATTAGACATATGATCGAGTTTTAATTGTCGTAGTGTGAGAATTTCACTTTATTGTCTTTAAGGTCGGTCATGGTCGAGAAATGTCCCTTGTGCGCTACTAAGTACATACCGAGCATGTATAGAACTACACATCCTGGGTGGGTATATTTCCAAACACAACTAATGATGTTTTTATGATGCATTTAATTTCATTTAATTTACATTATAGTTTTAACACAACACAATTAAAGTATCATTTTAGGGTCTGTTTGGAAAGCAGGAAAATGACTTCTGGAAAATGTTTTCTGGAAAATGAGTCATTTTTTGGAAAATATTTTTTTTCCAGTGTTTGGTTGCATTCTGGAAAACTGTTTTTGTGTGTTTGGTTCATTTTCTGGAAAATGAGTAGAATTGTATAATTAAATATTTTAATTATAATATTACAACATGTATAATAATATAATAATAATAATTTTAAATATAATAAAAAAATAACTTATAATATATCAAAAATATTATGGTGGTGGTGGTGGTGTTATTTGTTATAATAATAATAATAATAATAATAATAATAATAATAATAATAATAATAATAATAATAATAACTGGTGGTGGTGGTGATGGTGTGGTGGCGGTGGTGGTATGGTGGTGGTGGCGGCGGCGATGGTGGTTGCGGTGGTATGGTGGTGGTAGTGGTGGCGGCGACGGTGGTTGCGGTGGTATGGTGGTGGTGGTGGTGGCGGTGGCGATGGTGGTTGCGGTGGTATGGTGGTGGTAGTGGTGGCGGCGACGGTGGTTGCGGTGGTATGATGGTGGTGGTGGCAGTGGTGGTATGGTGGTGGTGGCGGTGGCGATGGTGGTTGCAGTGGTATGGTAGTGGTAGTGGTGGCGGCGACGGTGGTTGCGGTGGTATGGTGGTGGTGGTGGCGGTGGTGGTATGGTTGTGGTGGCGGCAGCGTCGGTGGTGGTGGCGATGATTGCGGTGGCGGTGGTGGCGGCGGCGGTATGGTGGTGGCGGTGGCGGCGGCGGCGGTGTGATGGTGGTGGTGTGGCGGTGGTATGGTGGTGGTGGCGGTGTTGCGGTGTATGGTGGTGGTTGCGGTGGTATAGTGGTGGTGGTGGAGACAGTAGTGGTGGTGATGGTGGTAGTGAAGTGGTGGTGGTATGGTGGTGTGATGTTGGTGTAAAAGTTCGAAAATGACTTCCTCCAAAAAAAGGGGAAGTCATTTTCCTCCAAAACAAGCCTATTTTCCAAAGTCAACGGAAAATGATTTCCGTTGACTTGATTTTCCAAGCACATCCAAACAATAGAAACTTGGAAAATGATTTCCAGAACTCATTTTCCAGGTTTCCAAACACACCCTTAATTCAAGTACAATTTTATTTGACAATATACACTCAATATGTAAAACATGTTATTGAATTTTATTTTATACATACTGTAGTTTAATTATAACACTACTAAAGTATTATTTCAATTCAATTACGGTTTCATTGCACAAACACACTCAAATATGTGAGACATTTTATTTAGTTTAATTTTATATACACTGTAGTTTCATTACAGTCCACTAAGGTATCATTCTAATTCAACTACAATTTCATTTAACAAATACACTCAATATGTGAGACATGTTATTTAGTTTCATTTTATATAGACTTTATTTTATCTTGAACATATCATAAATACAGAATTAATTAAAGGTAACGGTTGCCGTTTATTTTTGTTAAAAAAAATGGCAGCGCTTTGGACCATGATTCATAGAGCTGTATAACGAATGTATCAACTGTGTTGCAACTTGCAAATGACCATTTATATCATGCACCAGGGCGTGCATTGCATTGTGCGCCCTGATGCAAAACGACATCGTTTCATATAACTGTATAAATAAATACACATAATTGTACAAATAAACACACATAACTGTATTAAAAAAATACACATAATTGTATAAACAAATATACATAAGCACGTCAACTCCCTATTGCGCCTCCTAAAATGACGTCATTTTGAGAGGCGCTGAGCGCACAGTGATATGTGTGCCGTGGTGCAGGGTATAACGATTGCTTGCAAATAGTCTTTTGCAATACGTGTAGAAAACATTTGAGGAGCCCAATAAAATTTGTAAAGCCCATGGGCTAAAATGGAAGAGAAGGGTATTTGGGCTTAGGAAGAAAATTTTCGAGTATACAAATAGAAACCTTTGGTAATTTCAACTGCCAAAGAGGAGGATAGATCTCGTCAATCACCACCGTCACCGTCGTCGTCGTCGTCGTCGTCGTCGCCATGGCATCGAACGGAAAATCACTATTACAGACCCTAAAGCGCTACATCAAGGCCCCGTGGAACTACACCGGGCCTCAAACGAGCCCGGAGTACTTGTCCGCCGTCCCAAAGGCGACGGAGTATCGTGTTTTCTGCCCCGCCACCGAACCGGCTAAGGCCATCGTGCCTACATCTAATCCCGAAACCGTCTACGACATCAAATACTTCTCTCGAGATCAGCGCCGCAACCGCCCTCCTATCAAACGCACCGTCCTGAAGAAGGCCGATATCCAGAAGATGATGGCGGAGCAAACATTTGATGTCAACGATTTCCCCAAACCTTACTTGACTGCTAAGGTTCAGGAGGACGAAAACGCCATAGGCGGAGGCTATCAAAAATGAGGTATTCAATTTTTCGTTTTTACTTATCTGGAGCTTCATTTTAGCTGTGTTCTCTTGTCATTTTCGGAATTAGGTTCCACAGTTTATTGTTTTGCGGTTGAAAATTATGGTTTGGAATTCGATTCTAAATTGGCGATTTGATTGTTCATGTTTGAATGGATGTAAGGATTGATTGTATTCGTAATTCGCTTCACTGTTTATAAAGAGGAGTGGCTGTTATTAGATAGTTGTTGATTTAGTATTGCAAACGAATCTTGATTATCACCTTTTCTGATTTGTTTAAGGATGAATTCTGAATATGTATTGCCAGTATTGGCATTACTAACTCCTCTAAGGAGAGACAACTTTCCACCTCCCGCTTGTGATTGCAAGTGCAAACCTTTAGTTCATATTTCCGGTCCTTCCGTTCTACATATGCACAATTCAAATATGCACCATGTTGCCAGGTTTCTGAGGAAGCACACCTTTGATCCTAGTCTCTGAGTGTTGTATGTGTCATATTGATTTAGAGCATAACAATCTGCTATTCACAATTAGCAGTAATAGTCCTAAAGGATGTATAGCACTATAACATTAGAATGAAGAGTCTCCAATAAGGAGGAGTGGTGTCAGCTAACATATACTGGGTCACAAGAGTCAGGTGTGGGATATGAAGAGAATAGGTAGTGAAGGAGAATTGATAAGTTGGCGCCAAATTTTGTTCTTCGGTCTGCCATCACACTTTTGAGCCACCTTTATATGCTTGATGAATGGAAAGATTTTCCTTTTACTTGCAATGAGGTGGCCTGAACCATCCCATTTAGGTCTTCAGATCTTCAGCTTCTGAATCCTTTATCTTGCTTTTGCAAAGGTCTTATACTGTTGTACAAAACCAATTTTTTACCATAACCATAAAACATAGATTCTAAAGTAATGCGATAAAAAAAATGTTGCTGCATGTGTGAAGGCTGGATTTTCTAACTTATTCAGTATTGTCTTGAGTTATATTGTATGTACCTTTAGCCATTAACCTACCATATCCCTACAGGAATTTCAATGGGTCAAGATGCTAATTAAATTGTAGATGTTGTACTGTGCTTTCTTTCTTCCCCCTCCAAAGCCCAAAGTTTCATGCCTACCTCTCCTTCCTTTCAAAGAAATACTCAAATACCCCATTTTAAGATGGTAAAATATCTCTGCCTTGGTAATAAATGGAACACCTAGTATATGTCTATTATTTTTGGGAGTTGAATCACTTGCTGCTGTTTTATTTCTCTCACAATAGGAGACACCCATTTAACTTTTGTTTCATTTCCTTTTCTTTGTTTCTTTTAATATAATCTCTCAGTTAATCACTTAATCCCCTGTTGAACCCTTGGCTTCAGTCTGAATTATGATATGTCCTCTTTCTTTTAATTTCTTTGGTTTGGTCCGTAATCAGTGAGTTCTTTTTCTGCAGATTCATCCTTTAGTATTGACCACTTTTCAATTCAGTCTTTTCCCACAAAAATACTCACCTAAAATAAATACAAACAATGCCCCTAAATTCAAAACTTTAAACTTAAGATCAAAAGGGCGTATACATATCAGTTCACAGTTTATGGTTGTATCACTTGTATGTAATCAAATGAAAGTAAGATTAATGAACCATCATTTGATACTAACTTTTACATGATTGGAGTTGTGATAATTCTTTGCTTCTTTCCTAAGCATAGAAACCAGTTAACATGTTTTTTTTTTTTTTTTTTTTTTTCTGTTTTTTTTTTTTGGTTGAAAGTAGTGTGGCTTTACATGAACAAAAATTCCTTTCAAGTTACCATTCCCATAAATGTTAAGACAGGTCTCATCTGGTAGAGGAGAAAGCGAGCATACTTGTAGTTATCTCTTTGACATTGTAATGGATGCTATTGTGTAACTTGGAGATTTAAACAGTTGCTTTTATGCAATGACACACTATATTCTAAAAGTGGCGCATGCTGTTGAACATGGCACCGTGACCTGATTATGCCAGCCTCAAATGTTTTATCATCCCCTGCACGTACCCTCTTCCTCCTATTTTTTAAAGTCACGTTTGAGTAGCGTGGTGATCTGGTAGATTCCACAAATATCTATCTCAAGTTGTATTCAACTTCTTTTTATTTGGGTTAGCAGTCCATAGTACAGAGTCTATATACTCATTTTGTTAATTTCTTATACTAATGAAGCTGTTATACACTCTTTCGTTCCCTTTTATTTGCATAATCAACATGAAAATAACCACTGGTTTCATTGCTTGCCAGGCTTGCAATTTGAAGGCAAAAATTCTTGTTGCTGCTAATAAAGTGGAGGTGTCAGCCTATTTGTCTGCAGTTTATGCCATTGTATCCTGCCTCTTGTTTCAGTTCAACTGTTCTTTCTCATATAATCAAGTTCAAAACATTTGTAATTGGAACCCATTGGTTATAATGGGATGGTAAATGAAGTGTTTCCCTTAGAAATTTTTTGAACAATAATACCTGCAATAGTACAATAGTAATATAATGAGTTTGCATGCATCACCTCTCTCCCAAATTAAAGGGTTTGACCAATATATATTTGTTTTTCTTTCCCATGGTGAAGGCTTATATGGCTAACAATATAGAAAATTCTGAAGTGTTAGATTATATCAGGTATAAGCAGACATGAATGTCAACTTTTATTTAGGATTATATACAAAATAATAAAAAAGAATCTATAACTTGTTAAACAATGAATATTATAGGAGAGGCTTCTACAAAGCGCCTTTTGAAGAATCTTATTGACGAGTGGAAGTAATGGTTAGTTAAAGGGGAGTCTATAAGGCTCAATGCATTGTTATAGAGCAGGATAAAATCACAAATATATTTTATCCAAGGATGTGGTGAGGTACGAGAAAGGTTTAAGGTGGTTCAAGAATCCTCCCGAAATTATTTTAAGAACATTTTAGCTAAGGTTGTGGTGGGATATGAAAAAGACTTAAAAAGATTGTTTAAGAATCCTCCGAAAGTTATTCTAAGAATGTTAAAGAGAAATATGGGCAATTTATATCATGGATCAGAATTTACATAGCCTTAGTTTATAGACCCGGGATCGAAACGATGAGATACAGAATTCATACTTATAAGGTATATAATTTCACAATAAAAGACAAAAAATAACAACACAAGACACATACATACACATGTTATATATTTACTTATTTTCCAAATCTGATTTAGATACATAATTTGTGTTTATAGGCTTTCAAATCTGATTTAGGTACATAATTTGTGTTCATAGGCACAGAATTTCACAACACAAGACAGAAATTCATAGCATAAGACACAATTATTAATTTGTTTCAGGTACAAATCTCATATATTATGGTACAGAATTTCATAAAACAAGACACAAATATAGAGATGTCAATTGTATTGCACCCATCTCCCCGCCTCGCAGGGATCGGGTCGGAGATGGAGATGAGGGGAATTTTTAATTCCTCGCCGGAAACAGGACACTGATTCCCTATCCCCAGATAATTATTATGGGATGAAAATGAGGAGATTTTTCCATTCTCTCGTTGAGACAGGGACAGGAAATAGAGGAGAAAGTCGGGAGTGGGGATTGGATATGTTCCCCATCCCATCCCGCTCCCTTGACATATATCTCTACACAAAAACTAACAACATACATATACACATGTATCATGGTTCATAGTGCATTATGTACTTTAGTCCATGGTATAAGGACAGTGAGAAGATGATATGTGCTTGGTTTGCATGCTGTGCCTCCTCTTGTTACACCAAATAATTATTAAAAAATGAAAAAAAAGAAAAAAGTATATACATTATTGTCGGCGCCTAATCTTAGGTTAGAAGGTCGATCAAGTCCTATTTTGGATAATTGTAAGCATGTGGAGTTTTAATCCTTTTATGTATGGATAATGTTTAGTCATTTTCATTGAAAATAGTGTTGGTACTGCTCAATAGTATTATTTATTAATCATGCATGTGATTTTGACCTTTTTATAGGTTTCATACTAGTATACTACAAAGAACAAATATTATAATTAATGATTGAATCCATAATGTTAGGATTACTTTTACATATTCTATTTTTACTCTCAAATATCATACTTTATCATGATGCATGTGATTTTGACCTTTTTATAGGTTTCATACTAGTATACTACAAAGAACAAATATTATAATTAATGATTGAATCCATAATGTTAGGATTACTTTTACATATTCTATTTTTACTCTCAAATATCATACTTTATCATGAACTGTCTTCACAAGAAAATAAAAAAAAGTCCGCGCGGATAGCTCAACTGATCATAGAGGTAAAATTTTCAAAGAGAGAAGGGCTCTGTGCACAGTGAGCAAAGATCTAGCCTCTGTGGTACATGTTTCCTTAGGGTTGGGGTTCATCCTTTTGGAAAAAAAAATTAAAAGGGGTGAAATTCATGATTTTAAAATCTTAGCTGAAATTATGCTATTTCAGGGAGTATAGCTAGGAGAATAAAATTTTTCGCTCCCTTCAGCATTTTCGCTCTTAACTTGCAGGTTCAAGTGAATATAATAACATAATAATTCTCTAATCCCTTGTATTAGTGACATTATTTATGATTAACGAAGTTTGTTTTTGGTTTTCAAAATAATAATAATAATCTTTTAAAAATGGTAATAACTTCTCAACCAACAAAAATACACGTTTTCTTCTCGATCAACCTTGTCACACATGAGATTTTTTAATACAATTTACTTTTATTGTGTAGTTTACATGTATACTATTATAAAGGAGTAGAGTTTACTACCGGTGCACATCCTCAGATAGTGATTACAAGTTTTTCTGGTAATAAAAAACACATGTTTTACTTTTTATGCTACTTAATTGTGATGAGGCACCCAATAATTAAGGTGGTGTGTAGAAAAGGAATCCAACCAAAAAAGTTGTCTTTCTCTTGAACAATAATAGAACCCTTTTTGTACCCTAAAAAAAATTGAATTTCCAACTCTAAGGGACCTTCACGTTCCGGTCCGACAGAGCATTGGGAGGATGTAATTCATGTAACCTAAATATAGAGATTAGACCTTTGCTCATTTTGAGATGCGGGCTGCTCCACACTGTCATTGGTAAAACTCGATTCTGAATTATTGTTCCCAAATTTCACCCATGTGACCAACTGAGCCTGTCCATGCGGGCAACAATAATAAATCCTGTCAGTAGGTTGCAGTTATATTATTTTGTTCAGTTATTTAGTCTGTGAAAAGGGGAAGCAATAATATAGAAACCCTAATGATGGCGATGGTAATTAAACCAGGCCGGGCGGGCGGGCACAGCAGCAGTCAATAATGCAAAAACAGAAAGGAATTGAATGTGAAGTTCACACATACACATCCTTCAATTCACTGCCAGTAGTCTGCCTTGAAAACCCAACACATATGTCTAATTCAGCGTTATGTTTGAGAGGTTCTTTTCTGCATTTCTCAGTGCTTTCCCTTTGAAACTCTTTTCTTTTACCCTTGGTAAAGCTTGGGGTGAAAAAGGAGGTTGGGATAAAAGATAGGGTTGAGGTAAATACATACAGCTGACTCAGGTTATTGTTAGTTTGGATACGAGACATCTTAGTAGACCCCACTTCCTCACACACGGGCCGGCGGATCCAAAAACTTTTTTCAGTGGGGACGAAACATAAGACTTAAATATTTGGACGATTCTTTGTACTCAGATGACATGTAGTGACTTCTCCTATATGAAAGGTCATGAGATCAAGTTTCAGTTGAGGCATTCTCGACTCTGGGTGCTGAGAAAGTATGTTTAAACAGATACTACAATGTAATAGAGTCAGTATAATTCAAAAAAAAAAAAAAACATATATAAACAATATATATAATTAAGCCCTAATTCAATTTTGGTTGTGTGTAGCTAGAGTTGGGATGAGTAATTATGACATATTGAGAATTGAATTGAAGCATGCGTTTGGATTGGAGGTAGACGGGCCGGAAAAGGACAGGCAGGCAGCCCGCCGTTTTCGTGGATAAAAAAACAGCACGGCAAGTTGCCGGCCAAGCCAAGATCGAGATGGCCCGGCCCCCTCTACGGAGAAAGTCGGTTTGCTATTACATCACAATATATATATATATATATATATATATATATATATATATATATATATATATATATATATTATACATCGGACATGTTTTGCTCATGCAGCCGCATTCCTTTGTGTTATGCACCACATACCTTACTGTACTCTCGTCCCAACTTGCTGCACATTTTCAACCCTTGTATACTCTAGTCTACAACACACTTAATGCATCAACAACAAATATTCAATATATGAATGTTAGATGCCCTTACTATTAATTATAAGACACGCTCTAATGAGAACAAGCGTCCGGGAAAAAAATAAGAATCATTTACAGTTCACGTGTCCAGATCAACGAATTGAACCAGACTTTTTGAACTATATATATAATTAATTTGGTGGAAATTATATGCAATCACGCATCATAACTTATAGCGTATTCTGACCTAGAAATTAAAATCAGACGGCCAGCATGTTGTGTGTTGCCGTTTCTAATTTTGTTCCTTGGGATCTTCGTCTTGTTCCTTTTTTTGTTTAGTTTTCCTTTCATGGCACTGGTTTATACTTATGGTTTCCAAACAAAACATTGGTGCGTACCTCAATAGTCCATTATACTTCCTTGGCTTTTTCTCTTTCTCGTGGTCTCTCTTGTCCTGTCTGTCTGTGTTAGCAGCCGGGTAAATTATATTTACCTTTGCTTTTACTCTTTGAAGATTGGTTGAATAAAGAGTTGGTTGAATGTTGCATGCTTTGATCCGAGTATATAAATTATAATGTATGTATAAAGTGTGCATTTCAGTTATCAACTACTCAACTGTCTTAGTTAAGACGGCGAATCACATCATTCAATTTAGTATCAAAACTAACCTCATATGCAAGAAGTTATGAGTTTAGTATTACAATAACAAAATTATTTATTTTCTCTTACTAGTTACAATATTAGATTATTGTATATTTTGTAAGCCTAACTCGTTGTGCCATTATTAGAGATTTTTCATATATATGATTGAACTCCAATTCTGAAAAGAATTTATCTGTATTCAAAAATCTTGGCAGAAAAGGTAAATTATAATATATGGCTTTGTTTGGTAACATAGTTTTTTTTTTTTTTAATTTTTTTTAATTTTTTTTTATTAATATTACCTATTTGACTTGGTTAAGCATTCATTATAAGTGTTTGATTAATTAGCTTTTTGGAACTGTTTATAGTTCTAAAATGCTAAAATTTAAAAAGCTGCTCAAAGTAGTTTTTTCGATCAACTTTTTGAGAAAGTCATTTGGCATATAATCAGCTATCAGCTAACAACTAATTTAATGCTATCAACAACTCAAGTACACTAACCCAATCAGCTAATAACAGCTAACAACTATTTACCAAACACCCCATAATATATATCTCAATTGTCTAAATTGTTTGAACATAGACACTAGTGCTTACAACATGGTCAATTCCAAAACCTTTTCTTTTATAATAGCAAAACTAAACTATTAACGTGGATATTCAAATTAGTCAATCAATTCAATGGTGCCCAAATTACTTTTTTTTTTTTTTTTCTTTCTTTCTCTTTTAGTGATAATGTATAGTAAACGTACTCGTGCATGCTCTAATAGCTGCATACCCCATCTAGATGATGGATTAGGGTTATCAGTTGCAATACTTTATGTCTCATTATATTTATGTATAATATCTTTTTGACTCTGAATTCCTAGGATGTAACACAAACCCAAACCCTAGATAGGTGGTCGTATAGCCTTTTGGATAAGATTAAGATCCTATATGGCTATACAAGAACCAACCCCACCATAGAAGCCGAAAGAACTCATAACCATCATCGTATCATTACAATTAACTTCCTCCACTTGCAATACAACATCTAATCATTGTATGTTCAGCAAAGTCAAAAGTTTAATGTTTATTTTCAATTTAGATCCTTTTGTATGTTCAGCATTCAAAAAAAGAAAAAAAAAAAAGAAAAAAAAAAGATCCTTTTCACAATACTAGATAGACACTCCAACACGGCTACATACCATTTCGATCTCTTACGTACCCAAAAAAAAAAAAAAAAAAAAAAAAAAAAAAAAAAAAAAAAAAACTTTAGCTATATATAAGGATAGAACTTGCTTGCAAAAAATAAAAATTAATTTCAATAATTTTATTTTTTTTAAAAGTTACTGACTCTATTACATTGTAGTATTTGTTCATCCATGGACGGACCAAAAGGGGGTAGTGGGGTCAGCTGCCCCCCTCACCACCCCACCCTATATATAATCTTTGTATGTATATATGTATATATAGTATATGTTTGAGTGTTGATTATAAATATGAAATGAGTTAGATTAGTTGGTAGAGCAGGGGTTCGAATCATTTGGTTGTCAATATAGTTTTACAGTTTTCTTTTGGCTTCAACACGGTCTCGTTTTAATAGTTTTTTTTTTTTTTTTTTTAATATTTAACACACACACATATAATATTCTTTTACATTAATAATGAGATGTGTAATTTAATTATAATGTGTTTTCTATTCAAATTATTTTATCAAATTAATTATGTTTCATATTTTGTTATGAATATTTTTATAAAGTTTCAATGTGTTTTATTTTTCGCCCATATCTAATAATATTTACACCTATATTTCTTAAGTATTTTTTTTAAATATCTCTTTTGTTTTAATGTTTCGCCTTTACTGGAAAAAATTTCTGAATCCGTCCCTATTTCGCCCTCCCTCAACAGAATTCCTGGCTCCATTCCAGTGTTTCATCTATACTTTCTTTCTCAACCAGTTGAAGCACAAAGAGTCAACACCGTCTCCACTGAGACTTAATCTCAATATAATCGTCTATTTGGCCAAATTAATGGTTTTAGAGCAAAAAGGTAAAAAATTATGGTGAAATTTTAATAAGTCCTTCCAATTTTAAAATTGAATATGCAGTACACTTAGGGTTCATCTTATAATGTTTATGTTTTAAAGTTTTTTTCTTCTTTCTGTTTGGTTTAGTGTTTCACTTTTCAAATTTAGTAAATGGGCTCACTTTTTAATATTCGAGATTTAATATTAACGGTTTAGGTACTCAACAAAAAAAAAAAAAAAAAAAATTAGGGTTTAGTTTTTTGCCCACAAAAGACAAAATTCTTTTGCCCCCGGCCTCCAACACCCTCACTCAACATAATAGTGATGAATGAATAAATCACGGACTCGATCAGCAACCCATTAAGTGGAAGGACCTATGTCAGGTGCCATAAGGAGCTCATCACATTTTTGGTATAACTCCAATACTGCGACTGTCAGAACTCAATTGATCTTGTGTCCTTACCACAATCTATCATGCACTTAGAAACCAATTGAACTGTTCATGAAGCTATAATTTAATGTGTGTGTGTGTGTGTTTGTATGTATATGTGTGTATAGACATTGAATTGATGAAAAGAGAGTGGGCCGGGTGTGAGGAAATCCCTCTGATCTGCAGGAAAATGGAAGTGGTCCTCCCTTGCTAGACTCTACATGCATACATCTATCAGTACTCAGTGTTAAAGAAGAAGAAGAAGAGTTTGGTCCCTCATCTATACTGAGGTAACCCTTCCCCTCCTTTGATGTCCCTTTCACATACCCATCTTTCACGTAAACATGACATTACTCTTTGAGTAAACACCACATCTTCATCATTAGACTTATCTCACTGAAATTTCCCTTTTGTCTCCACCTTCTTGCATCTTTCTCTATTCCATCCCCCTAATCACTTTAAACCTAGCTTATTTACAACTATATGTTGTTGAGGCAAAAGGGGTAATCACTAAATGTTTAGGGTATAGTCTTTATGCTTGTAGGTTATGCATGTAATTAATATATGAGAGGATTATTGTTACTATTTGGGTTGTGTAGTGATTGGATTGAGATATTGGAGGAATTGTTTCAAGAATATATAGTCTGGTGACGTTATATATCGTGTGATAGTGAATACTAACTTGTTACAATACCCTTAGCTTGTGTCAAGAAAATAACTATTTTAGTTTGATCCCTCAATTGTTATTATATTTGTTGTATAATTTAGCTTTTCATTGTCACTTGTTACAATACTTTCGCGTTGTGAAACGTATATAAAAAGAGAAAATTACATTTTTAGTGTGATCTCTCAATTGTTATTTGTTGTATATAATTTATTAGCTCTTTATTGCTAGTACTTGTTACAATACTCTCATGTTGTGAAACATATATAAAAACAGAAAATCACACTTTTAATCGGATCACTCATTGTTATCTATTGTATAATTTAGTTTTTCATTGTCAATTTGTAAAAATTCAGACATTCAATTGTTCTAAACGTTATCAATTTGCTCTCTTGAGGACGTTAAACTTGTCTGTCATTTTAGGGTTTTGTTGTTTTTTAAAATGAATTATTTCATAATCCATATATCTCATTAGTTTTCAAGCTAAGGATCGAGAGACCAATTTGACAATGTTTAGAACAACTGAGAGATATGATTGAATTTTTAAAAATTGACAATGAGAAATTAAATTACACAACAATTAAGTTACAATTGAAAGATTAAAAGTGTGATTTCTACCATACAAAAATATGTTGGTTAAGTTTATTATGGAGTATTATTATTTACGGTGACGAGGAAAATTAAACCTTCCATTACTATTTGTGGATATATAAGTGTAATTATATCCCATAAGTTCGTTTTTTAGTATAAGAATTATGTTCTACTCAGTTGATTGCTTTGGTGCTTAATTAAGTTTGTTATTGAAGAGTTAATTGGTTTTAAACCTTGAAAGAATAATTAAGCATGTAGAAAACTTCACATATCAACTAACCAAAGTAAGATGAATGAGTCCATAATAGATAGGCATGCATCTGTCAACCCCATGTGATTTGAATTCTACCAGCACGCTTTTTGCAGTTGTCGATAAAGCATTTAGGACAACTTTTGTAGATGTGCAGAATGGTCCCCCTTTGCTCACATTAATCACCTTAATTTACCCGAACCCAAACTAAAATATAATAATTAATTAAACTGCAAAACCACATTAATCACAACCTAATTACATTACTCCACTAGGCATGACATGATCGATTATGACTTGATGAGAATTTTGTGATAAGATTTGACTGGTACATTTATCTTTCAAATGCAGACCTTTACGTGGCACCCCATCCTCCATTACTTTCTCCCTAAGAATTTTCGTCCCGAAAAAAATTAAGTATTTCAGAATTCTATTCATATCGAGAAAAAATTCAGTTAGTATATAATAACGTATAGACACTGTAGAATTTCTTGACGGATTTGGCATCTTCACTTACCCACTACTACTATATGTTTACCCAGAAATCAAATCACAGAGAATTCCCTCATTTGATACCATCCAAACTGCTTCTTGGAGACCTAGCTAGCTAGGGCTTTTGAGTAGTTTAAGGAAAGCACTTCAACTCAACTTGGAGTATTATTGCTTCAGCTTTCTGCAGGAACCAATTTTCTTTCAGACGTACAGATCAGAATGCCAGTTTTCAGTTTCTGATGTGAGTCTTTAATTAGATCGATCTCATGCATGAACTTATGATATGATCCCATGGCTACAAGTGTATGATTGTACTGTATGTCTTGCTTTAATTTGATATATACTATGTTTAATTTAATTATAAAAATGATCATATTTTTCATCAAACCCTAATCGGATTTCATGGCTTTGGTTTAGCTAGGGTTCTTGATTAGGGCTTTTAATCGTTTTGATTTGAATATGTTAATGTTCTTGTTTTTGGTGGTGATTTTATTCTTAGTTCAGATCCCTAGGATTTCTCGAAGAATTTGAGAATCAATCATTCAGATCGAGTTGATAATTTACCACTCAAGAATCAACTGAGCTGCTGAATAATGAGATAAGAAGGAAGATACGATGATTACAAGAGAAGTGGATTTCTGTAATGCTGCGACAAAAGAGGAGGGGGATAACTCAAGTGATGTGAAAGTGAATGTTCCTGGGAAGACGGCGACGGTTGCGGGATTCTCGTCGTCGTCTAGGCCGACAACGTTGTCGTCGTCGACGTCGTGGACGAGGTTGAAGGATCCGAGGATTGTTCGTGTTTCGCGGGCGTTTGGGGGGAAAGACCGGCACAGCAAAGTGTGCACTGTGCGAGGGCTGAGGGACCGGCGCGTGCGGCTTTCGGTGCCGACGGCGATACAATTGTACGACCTGCAGGACCGGCTGGGCCTGAATCAGCCCAGCAAGGTGGTGGATTGGTTGCTGGACGCGGCGAAGGGTGATATCGACCAGCTTCCGCCTCTCCAGATTCCTCCCAGAATCTTTGATCCTTATTTCACGGCGCCGCCGTCTACCGCCGATTCTACCCCGCCGCCGCCGCCGCCGTCGTTCACTTCTTTCTTAAGATGGGATCCATCTACTCCTCCTCCTCCTCCTCATCCAAAACCGGAAGACCATTTCCACAGCTTCAACAACGTTGTTTTATCCTCCCCATCTTTTCCGTCCACCGCCGCCGTCTCCTCCCAGGTTCTTGTCTGTCCGCCGCCGGGATTACAGCCATACTCGTTTCTCCACCCCGCCGCCTCCCCGCCGGAGCTTGACCTGAAACAAATCATCAATTTCCAGATGCTGATGAGCTCCACCTCTCAGCCTCCTTTCTCATCCTCCCTCCGGCCACCGCCGCCGCCGCTCGATTTCATCAAACCAATGCATTTTCTCCATTCCCACCACGCCGGAGCCCCGCCAGACAAGAACGAATGAAGAACCATGAATTCCGGCCTTTACTTAACGGTGACAATTCAATTCGATCAGATCGATCAAGTACTTTTCTTTAATCCTGGTATGTTGTCAACAACGTTATACAGATCATATCATATCATATCCGTTCGATCGAAATCACATTTCCATTATTATTCCTTTCAAGTATATTATAACTATCCAATTCCATCCCAGTTGAATTAAAAGCTGCGTTTTCATCATAATTCTTGTTTATATGATGAGCTGTTTTCATGTGTACGTAAACTCTTCGTAATATATATATAAATAAATTACTATATATCATGTTTGTTTGGCCATGAATTGTGCTATAAAAAAAGAGTTTCAGAATCGGGTTAAAAGGGAAAAGAGATATGTATAGTACAGAAGAATTAGGGTTTGAATCAATTGAAGTTTTAGTCTTTTACCTATGTATGCAAGGAAAGGGACAAGATGATGCAGAGTCCTCGTACGTACTATATATATGTGTGTGTATGTATGTATATATGTATGTATACATGGTACACACAATACATATATTGATATACCAAACATTCAAACACCTTGCTTTTAGGGTTTTGTCTTGTCAATTTCACTTTCTTTTGCCCTAGATATGATCATTTGAAATTTCTTGCTCGTATTCTTGCTTTTTTCATCCATCTTTTTCCATTTTGTTGACATGATTTAGTATAACTATGTGTAAATTGTATGGTTTTCTTTGAGTATATATATAAGCATGAATCTAGCTATTTGCAATTATACTTTCTCGAAAAGTGATTAGAAATGGTCTTTCAAATCAGAAACGTACCTTCAATTTTCAACCACTTTTTCAGTGGATGAAAATCACATAATTTTTAGCAATAATGTTGCAAATAGTAAGTTTAAGACTACATTTACTTCAATTATTTAGTTTTTCTTGCACTATCCTTGATATGTGTTCTATTGTACAAGTAAACATGGATGTTTTTGTTACAAGCATTTAGGGCATGTAACATAATTTACCTCATTCGGAGCCTTTTAATTAAATTTGAAGTTCAAACTTAAACATGTTTTTTGGTTTTGAGTAAGTGTTCTTTTGTCATTTGCATATATATATATATATATATATATATATATATATATATTCATTTTTAGTTATTAACCAACCTAACATTCAAATGCAGTTCCTTATGTAATTCCATATATAATTTCTTTTTCTATTCCATTCTTATTACTTCCATTTTCATTCATTGAACCAAAACCACATAAATGTAATTGAAGCATGTACTCCATCTTAATTAAAAGTCTAAGCTGATAGTTAGATTGTACATTAATGGTTATATGCTCAACACTGCACGCCCCCTCATATGTGCGGACCGATTATTACTTATTCGAATCCATGACCTTTAGCATGACTCTGATACCAAATTGAAGTATGTACTCCATCTTAACTAAAAGCCTAAGTTGATACTTAGATTGTATATTAATGATTATATGCTCAACAAATGTTTGTGTGATTATGTGATATCTCATGAATTGAAAGTTGAAACTGTACTGTTAGGATGGTTTAGAAACTTCATTATTTTTAATTTAATGAAGTCACAAGGAGAAAATTAACTTGTTATATTTTAAGTATTCCACATCATTTAATATAATGATTTCCATATTTCACATTAACATCGTCTGAAAAATGTTATGAGTTTGAACTCGTGATTTTCTATTACAAAAAGTATATTTTACGCATTTAACATTTTGGCCGCCCTTTTGGGACATCATTATATTTTGTATTTTTAATTTTTAACTATACAATAAACAAAAACGTGTATAATTGTATATGCAATTATATTATTATTATCATACCAATATACATGAGTTTAAAAATTTTGTAGTCCAATAGTATATACATAAAACACTATAAACAAAATTTTAAATTTAATTTCCTTCTCGATCTTTAAATGTATGAAATAATAAAAAAGAAATTAAACAAATATATCTAAGCGTCACAAGACCAATATTTTAGAGCATGATTTCAAATAAAACGTAACAAATCCCAATAAGTTCCATCTTGTGCATTGCCACCTAATATTGCACCTTAGCTTGTTCTCAAGATGAGTATACGTTGATATTTGAAGGTGCGTAATCAAATTGTCCATAATTAATTAGCTCAGCTCAAATTGAGAAAGCTAAAACTCAAATAGAAAGTTGAATTTAATTGAAATCTTGTGAATATATATTAAGCTAATTGTTCGATCAATCAATTGGGTGTGTTCACGAATGAAACTTATGATTTATCACTTATAAACAATGAAAACTATAAGTAAAACAAATATAAAATCTCGTGAGAATCAAACTCATAATTTCTCATTTACAAAATAAATAAATAAATAAATATATATATATATATATATATATATATATATATATATATATGTGTGTGTGTGTGTGTGTGTGTGTGTGTGTGTGTGTGTGTGTATGTGTGTGTGTGTGTGTGTAAACTAAGGGAAGGGATCAGGTGCGGGAGGGGGCTTCTCGTGTGGTTGTGTGGTTGGACTCACATTAAACATTAAACTGACGCACTTTAAGTACACAACACACGCACATTAAGCACTCAAACAAAATACATTCAAAACACAAACACACGCACCTTAAGCACAAAACTCAAGCATCTTAAGCACAACCCTCACGCACCATCTTAAGCACAAAACTCACGCACCTTAAGCACAAAAACACACGCATCTTAAGTTTCAACAACTACTTACATTAAACAAAAACCCACGCACCGCACCTTAAACACAAGACTCACGCACCTTAAGCACAAAACTCATGCACATTAAGCACAACCCAACTACTCACATTAAGTACACAACCACGCACCTTAAGTACAAAACTCACGCACTTTAAGCACAAGCCTTGCACACCTTAAGTACAAAACTCACGCATATTACTCAACGCACAAACACACGGAAAACATACATCCGCACTGGAACTTAATTCTATAAATATAAACCTATATACCTTTTTAAAAAAAAAAATCCTAATACATAAAATAATAATATACCTGGCCCATTTTGTGTGGATTATATTTTATTCGGAAAATGGGCCTTAATTCTGAAAGCCTATTCTATAGCTTATTGGGCCGACCTCCTCTAGGCTTTGACTTTTTTTGCATCGGTAAGCCAGGCCCAATCTTGGAAATTACGATCCTGACCTCAACAACGCCTAGCTTGTCCGTCTATAAGTAGACACCATACAAAATCACCGTCCGCTCCTTCTCGATCTCGTCTCCTTCTTTCTCACTCTCTCCGCCTCTACAGTTTCTGATATTCTGAACCCTTGAGCTAGGTTTTACTGGGTTCAGGAGCCATCATTCAGCTCCTTTGGCTAGGGTTTTGGAGCTGACAGAAGGGATCAGTAGCGGGAAACCCTAATAGCTGTATAAATTTCCTGGTAAGTCTTCGAATTTCGCAATTCCGTGATTTGATTTTGTTGAGCTCGTTCAAAGTGCGAGCGGTGTTTGAGGTTTTTGCGCTATTCTTCGGAACTCATTTCTCGGATTTTCGTGCTGAAATGTGCGGGTTTCGCGGGTGAATGCATGGTCGGTTTTGGGAGATTTAGTTCGAGCGGAGTGATATGAAGTGTTGAATATGAGCGATGGAGGTGGGGAGAGTGTAAAAGAGAGTGAACGCAGCTGTGGGGCGTCGAAGAAGAAGAAGAAGGTGACGGCGAAGGACGAATTTGCCCAGGCCATTGCTAGAATTGCTGTTGCTCAGATATGCGAGGGTGTAGGGTTTCAGAACTTTCACCAGTCCGCGATGGATACTCTTTCGGATGTTGCTGTCAGATACATTCGAGATGTGGGGAGAATTGCCAATTCGTGTGCAAATTTAGCAGGGAGGAGCCAGTGTAATGTGTTTGATGTGATTGAAGGATTAGAAGATTTGGGTTCCATCCAGGGGTTTTCTGGTGCTTCTGATGTTAGCCACTGTCTTTTGGGTTCGGGAGCAGTCAAAGACATTATTAGATTTGTGGATGAGGCTGAAGAAATCCCATTTCCCTACTCCATTCCCAAATTTCCAGTAGTTAAGAATGGGAAACTAAATCCTACTTATCTGCAAACTGGAGAAAACCCACCTGAACATGTACCTGCTTGGTTGCCTGCATTTCCAGATCCCAAGAGTTATGCAGGTTTAAATTTGGTGGAAAAGAAAGAAGCAGATAGCAGGATTGTTAAGGCCGAGCAAGTTGAAGATCATAGAATGGCTGGCAAACTGAATTTGCAGCAACAGTTGGCTGTTAATGGGCGTGAAGCTGCAGTAGCTGTTGATCCAGTAGATGCTGCTGAGGAAAAAAGAACAGTTCAATGTAACCCATTTCTTGCACCACCTCTGCAATTTGGGGAGAAGGAGGTCTCCCAAGTTGTCCTTCCAGCAAGATTTTCTGATGAAACCTTCATGCAACATTCGGATCATGCCATTACAAGAAACCATGATTCTATGTTGGATGCATTTACTCCAGCCATTGAAGCAGTTCAGAGTAGGTCAAGTAATCATGATGATGGTGGGAAAAAGGTTCTCTTGGAAAGAAGAACTGCAGTACGATTCCGGTTAGAAAGTCACAGAAAGACATTAGGTAGAGCAGCAAGCCTATGGGATGAGGCTGATGAGGAACTAGATTCTCAGGTCGTCAATGATAATGAGAAAGTTAACGGGAAAAGAACAGCTGAGCAAATTCTCAATAGTTCCATGAATAACTCACAGGAGCAGGCTCACTTGTAAATTAGGCATGTTTCATTAGTCCTAGGATACTCATTTAGCAAACAGAGGCAGATGCTGCTTCCATGCTAATCAAAGTAGAGGCTAGAGTTGTCCTTATATGGGGTTTTACAGACTGCTAGAGGGGTATTTTCCCACTTAACAATCCATTGAGGTATGTTATTGTTAGGCATGTCTTGAACCTTTGTACTTGATAACTTTTCATAATGACAGTTGCTTTCTATTTTTTCTATACTCTGTTTGCTCATGTCTTTTAAGATATATTATTCAGTTGCTTTCTATTTTTTCTATACTCTGTTTGCTCATGTCTTTTAAGATATATTATGGAATTCTGAACCATCTTGATTGTGCTATACAATTTTGAACTTTTGAACAAATGGCATTTATAATATGTAGGCAAGTTTATTTCTCAATATATATAGATATGTGCATGCATCTGCCCAGTTTTCAGGGAAGTGAAGGAAAGGATATAAAAATTGAATTTGTTGTTTTGCAGTTTAGTAGTGATTTCACAGATTGATGTGTATTACTTTGTTGTAATTCAAGAAGCCTAATTGCAGCGATAACTTTTCGGGCATTGTGCAACCTCCCAGGTTATCTGATATGTTTGGGAAATTTTAGTTAAAGAGAGAGTGGTTTGTACTTGGTAAAAAGGAGAAAAAAGATCCTCTGTAAATGCCTTAACAAAAGCAAGAGTTTGTTTATAAAGAGTTTCAAGACATGATGAACTATAATGTTCATAATGAAATCAATATATTATGCTTAATATAAAATACTTCACACTGCATCAATTTTTTATATTAAAATTAGCCAATTACGCATTGCTAAGAACAAATTCAAACTAAAGTGCAACCATATATTGGAAGTAGATTCATTTTCTTAGTATCCTGGAATAGATATTTAGGAATAAGGATTTCCACTCACATCCCTGGCCCGAAAGAGGAGAGAACATGTGACAGGTAGATCAATAGAGGAGTCATTCTAAACTACAGCTGCTAGATAAATGCCAGTGCTCTACTGCTCTGATCTCAACCATGTAGTCTTCTGTTTAATTGCATGCTTAGAGCTGTCCTTGTTGACTTTATGCACAAATGATACACATCAGACAATATAAATAAGCCATGTGGATCCCATGACAGTTCAGATGTGAAGAAACATTAATTTCATTTTGAGAGCAAAAGTATAGTTGTTGCATAATTATGCTCATTTGTTTTTCTGAAACTCTGAATCTGGATGGACATAATTTTTGGACATCTCCAGATTAAAATGTGGACAAAAAACATGGGACAATGTTATGATTTACATGCAGGTTGTCTGTTAGTTAAAATTGTGATGACAACTTGTGGGAATTGAAATGCATAGCTAACTTTGAGACAGAAGTTGTCTCTTTTATAAATGCTTGAATATCATACATTTAGTGTTTGCTCATACACAAGTTAGAAAAGAAAAAGGGTGCGTAGGATGCTACAATAGAAAGCTCAGAAGATGAAGCCATTAGTTCATAAATAGTTGCATGGAATGTCTTCTTGGTCTATCTTGGAGCCATGCAACCTCTCTACTTATTACCTCTGTAATCAGGTCCTTAAATATTAGGCGCTCAATGTCCAATACCAATGCTGGAAGCTCACCACGATGTTCTACCCAATCTTCTAATTCATGCTTTAAATCTCCCTTTATGATTTTAATCAATTCATCATCCGCAGTGCCTAGGAAGTTGTCTGATTCAGGCCTGAGATGGTCCACCTCTGCATATAGCTCTTTCAAAAGCTGCTGTCCACTGAAATTTCTCTCCTGCATTAAAGAGCCTTCTAAAGCTAGTTTGTGTGCAAGAATCTCATTCACTGTATCAAATACAACTTTCCTGTGAATTTTCTCTTCAAATTTTATCTTGGCAGTGTTTTCTTGTGGTCCTTTACATGTTAGCCAAGTGCTTTCCTCAGTTTGTTCCAGTACATGGAACAGCTTGGGGTTAATCAGATAGCCTGATGGATGAAGCTGAGCAGTTGTCGAGACACAATCTAGATCTTTGAGGAGGCCTGATGCCAGCAATATTTTAGTGATGTACCAATGGTCAGAATTATCACCTTGGCAGAAAAGAGCTATTTCATTCATGGCACCTTCACGGGGAGTAGAATTTAGTAGCCTGAGCTTATGAAGCAGGTGATCAACGTTTTCTAAACTCTTATGATTGAATTCAGAGCTAAGATTGTGTCTGGTGCTGAATGGTAAGTGGTCCAAGCCCTCTGTATGCCATTCTTCTTCATTAGCATCTGAAATGTCATGATCTGATAAGGTAAGAAAGTGCACTGTTTATAAATGCTTTCATTGAATTTCAGCAAACAAAACTTCTCTAAATGTTTGGGTTTTAGTGCTTGTTTGACATACAAGCAATTATCTACTCCAAAAAGCATAAGTTAGGCCAAACATTGAAAAGAGAAAAAGGCTTTTAAAGCAATTAAGAGGCAAAAACTCTTTTTCAAGAAGCTTCACAGTTGTGGCTTATATGAAAAGCCTAAACTTCAATAAGTTCCAGTTGCTCCAATGTAGAGCCAAACAAATACTAATCATTTTTTTCTTTAACTCCATGTGATAATATCTGTTTATATTTCCATATCCTTAGGTGTTGTGTGACTGAAAATGTTTTTTTCAAGTTTTGCATGACTAACAGACAGGTGTAAGGAGCAATGGTGAAATGATCTAATGGATACACGACAATGGAACTGTACCTTAAGTGTGCTGGACTCTGTTTTCTAATCCCCCACCCAAGCATACCCAAAAAAGAAATAAATAAATAAATAAAATCTCAGTACTTTTTTCTTGGTAATTTGACTGTGGTGTATATTATATGTGCCTTGTTTCATGTTTCTTGTGCAAGTGACCTATTCCAATTGCAACTTAGATTGAAAATACATATTTTGTGGTATGTGATTGTTACCTCCAAAAGCTATTGATATCTTCTTCTTCACTGGGGATGGTGAATCTTCTATGTAGAATGTAGCATCAAGCACAGAGACAGGGCTAGGTTGTTCAATTGTAGCCATTGCAAGTTCTGCCATCATTGTATCTTTTCTCAATCTCATTTCAGAATTCTGGATGGCAGGGAAAAAAGAAGTAAAATATAATTAATAATAATCTGTAAAATAAAATCATGAAAATTCTAAGTTAATCACTTACTGTCTCTTTATGGACGACTTGCTGTTTTGCTCCCATTTCAATATTATGATATGTGCTTGTGACTTCTGTCTCCATATATGAGGCCAAGCTATTGTTGCTCTCTGATTGCACTGAAGCTGTGTCACCTTGCTCACTAAAGTTTCCTGTGTCACTGCTTATCTCACTGAGGTGGTTATAACTTTGTCGCTGATTGGCAGATTTCAGTTTTGGTCTCCTATTCGATGATTCTGATTCTTTGGGTTGTTTATTTTCTTTCCTTCTAATCCTGCTTGGTTCAGATTGCTTCTCTATGCCAAGCTTTTTCTTTTGCAGTCTTGGACTTACAGCCCCAGGGCTCCTGTCAAGCACAGGATGCCGACCTCCATTCATGTGTGCAGAGCCTTTCGAAGCTTGCAGTGCATTTGATGTTCTTTGATTGATCTTCTCTATAGAAGGAAGATTCTGAGTGGGGTCTTTGATGATATTTTTCCTAAGTGTCGAGTTCTTTCGGTCTTTGTTAACCGAGTCATCTCTGTTGCGTGTAGAGGAACTTGCAACTCTTATTTGAACATTTAGTTTGGCAGATTGCTTGATTGGATTGGAAGATTTGACCCTCTTTGGAGGACAAGATCTTTTTTCTGTAGGAGATGAGTGATCGCATTGCTGCCTTTGCTGCATTGATAGCCTGGGACTTTGCTGATGGCAACCATAATCTGTAGCAAAACTGTTCGACTGAGAATCAGTATCGAAGTCAGCCACCTCTTGTGTTTGGCTCTCTAACCTTGCTCGTGTCTTCTGCATTGCTTCAAGTATTTGTTTGAGTGCTCTGAGATCTTTCCCGGATTTATCGAGCTCAAGTTCAGTTATCCTTTTCTCAACTTCACTATAAACCGATGAGGATATCTGTTGAGGATTTGTGGAGGCTTCTTTACTTCTTAGCAGTGTTTTCTGTGGGGCCCTACTGGAGTCTGATAGCCTCCATGGTGCAAGTTCTAGTGGAAACCTTGAATAAGAGGTTGGTTTGGTTGGTCTAGAATGTGGTAAGACACAATCCTTTTGTGAATCCTGTGAAGAGCTGGTTTCTTGGTTTTGCTTGCTGTGTTGACCCAATCCCTGTGAAATTGGAACAGAATTTTCGACAGAAATGAATCTTTCTTGTAATACCTGATCGTCATTGATGGAAGTAGGTTCTGGAAAACCTTCTAAACCCATTAGCTTTGCCACCACACTTGAAGATCGTCTATGACTTCCTAATTCTTCGTTTCTGGTGGGTGTGCTGACAGAGTTCTCATCTCCCTCGTAACGATTCCTTATGGACCTTACTCTACTGTCCAATGATAGCCTAGGAAGCTCTCCTTGCTTCGTTGTCGACTTCAATGTTTCTCGTGATTCAATTCCATCGTAAGAGAAACGACAAGGATCCCTTCCTGCATGCTGCATGGTATGATCTCTATCTTCCTTGAAAGAGAATGGAGCTTCTTGAAATCTAGCATGGCCTCTCGTTGATACTACTGCAGATGGCTTCGAAGGCCTGGGAGAATCTATGTGCTTCATTACCCGGACTCTTCCTTCTTCTTTGTCTCTGTACATTGAGTTCTTCACTACATCTCGGAGATCCGGGGACTGCTGCAGAGGCCTAGGAGAATCTATGTGCTTCATTACTCGGATTCTATCCTCTTCTCTAGCCCCCGTTTTGACAGATAAAGTGCAGTCATCCCTGTACATCAAGTTCTTCACTGCACTTCTTCGATCAGGGGACTGCCTACTCGAGTGCAATGAAGGTTTATGTTGATCCATGTCCAAGGCCTCGGGGATTCTGGAAAAATTGGTTTGGGCGCAAGATGGGGATTCTTGTGTAGCGGTTTTGTTTCGGTCAAGTGATGAGGGAGTGGATGGGCACGGAGAAGAAGACGAAGAAGAAAGGACCTTGTATGACTCATCAGAACCCACCACTCGTTCCACTTCCATTTCTGTTGCGATTCTGGGCTCCCCATTGTGGTTTGCACCTTTACACATTGTGAAAATTTAGATTCTGGGCTCCCCATTGGGTGTTGCAGAACGTATAAACTAAGTTCGAATGAGAAAACCGAAGTTTCACGATTTCATGTAAACTACTGGTGATTGTCTCTATTCTCAGTTATTAGTACAGGAAAAAGGTCTCTATTCTCTATCAATCTAGCTATAAATTAAGGATTTTCATTAGACTTCAACAATTGACACCAAACAAAATCTTTTTTGCAGGAATACCTGTAACGGGTTTTTTGTTGTTATGGCAATCGGCTCGTTTGCCAGTGAAGAAATGGTGCCTGTCGAACAGCTGGAATATCACATTTATGCACCCAATCTGCTTGCGTAGATCATGGTGGGCATCTTTCACCGAAGATGGTATCCCCGAAGACATCTCTCTAGTCTCTCCTCTCTTCTTCTAACACGCTGACTGGTTAGAACGACAGAATCTCTCCCATTCCCTCCTCCTCCAGGTATCTTCGCGTATCCTTAAAACCAAAAACCAAGAACGTTTATACATATGTTTCATGTTTGAACAGATATCACAAGTTAGTCAGTTTCTCGAATTCTTTATCTATGCAGGACAGAAAAACGAGGAATATATACTTACAATGGTGCAGACGGGACGAGACTATAACAGAACGAAGCTTCCTCAACACCCACCACTGAAAACTAGCGGGTAAGCATCTGTTTCCTCCTTCGCCTTACACGCTATATATGCTGCAAAATGAGTAGACTGTGTGTGTATTGTGTATGTAATGTATGTTAAGTAGAATTGAAGGGAAATCTTGAGGGCCAAGAAGAGAAGTCCTTTTGGGTTTCTTAACAGAAAGGAAAAAGTTTGCAGGCAGAGTTTTGTCTTTTGTCACTCTCAAGGAAGGAGGGAGATGCTGCTTAGTTTATTCAGGGAAAGATGGAGAGAAAGAAAGTTGTGTGATAATATACTTATATACTGCTACAATACAATAATGCAGGTATGAAAGATTAAAGCAGCTCTAACTTGGAGGTGGGGGTGGGGGGGTAGGGGCTAGATTGGGTGAGTCTGAACTAAGTGGGGTCAAATCTAGATGTATTAGGATTAGGAGGAAGAAGAGGACTGAGTTGTTTTCAACGGATTGTACCCTAATTCCGAGGTCCCCACTGTTTCTGTCTGAGATAAATTGCGGGATGTACCTTAATGATTTACAGGTTTCTTAAAATGCTTACTCGCAACAAGGTCAATGACTCGATTATTTTCTATACTCTGGCCTCTGGGTACATCAGAACTATTAACTTCTTTAAATTACTCGACCAGTTAAGATGTGATTTCTTTGAATTCGTTGACCAGTTGGGCTGTGATTGACTTTCTGAATTACTCGATCAGTCACTACTGGAATTATGGAATTTCCGACCACATGAAAGTGATCTTAAATCAAGTCAAAAGTCTCGTTCCAACTACTTTTGGTATCCGGAAAAACCTTTGTTGCAATTTCTGACCACTTTTTAGTATCAACTTGATTTAAGATCATTTTCAGGTGGTCGGAAATTTCATAATTTTCAGTAGTGAGTTAAGATGTGATTTCTCTGAATTAGTCGACAAATTGAGTTGTGATTGACTTTTTGAAATTTCTCGACTAGTTAAGACATGATTTATTTGAATTAGTTGACCAGTTGAGCTATGAGCGAGAGTAACAGAGTCGTTTTCGAGTGGACAAATAATGTGGGAGGCAGGGAGGGCAGTCTTGTGTGGAGTTGAGTATGGACCTCTCTATTGCCTTTCTTTCTTCTACATGGGCATGTGGTGTTTGTCAGATTGCATGTAGGAAAGTGGATTTATGTACTGGCAATGCTTCCCTCACTTCCTCTTAACCCCCTCTACAATCATTCTCTGTCTTCTATTATCTTACACTTTTGTAACAACAAATATTAAAACTAAAATCTCTTATATAAATCCCAAACTTATATCATTAAATTACAACCTCTTTTTTGTCCATTTTCCCTTCTTTCAATCCACTATAACATTTTGGCCATGTTTGGTAACATAGTTAACTTATCAGCCAATTTTGGCTTATTTGACCACTATTAGCTGTTTGACTTGGTTACACATTCAATATAAATGTTTGATTATTTAGTATTTTTGTAACAGCTTAGTGCTCCAAAATGTTAAAATTCAAAAAGCTGCTCAAAGTAGCTTTTTCAATCAGCTTTTTAAGAAAATCATTTTGCATGTAATCAGCTATCAACTAACAACTTTTCTACAATCAGCTAATGTTATCAACTAATCAAACTCACTAACCCAATTAGTTAACAGCTATTTATCAAAAAACCTCTAACCATTTTTTGGGTCTATTTTCCCTTCTTTCAATCCACAATAACCATTATATCCTTCACCTTGTTATCATAGCTTTTATGAAGGGAGACAACATTAGTGGCAATTATTCATTTTAAAACTTTTTTTTGGTGAGTTTTTCTTGAATATTTCCATGTGAAGATTCAATTTCATGGGCTGGCTTTGCCTCTCTTCTTTTTTTTTTCTTTTTTAAAAAAAAATTATTTTTTAAAAGAATGTATTTGAGTAAGCTACAAGTATTCCTTAGAAAGAGTCAGCAGCTTCCTTCCTTCTGGATCCAGAAGTGTAGGCTTTGGGAATTCATATCTGCCATGTTGTCTTCCACTCTTTTGCAGTCACCGCTTGCCTTTTATGCAGCCATGAACTTAAACTAGGTTTCTACACACATCCTAAACTTCCCCAAAATAGATTCTTCTGTTCTTAGACTAACATTTCGATATTAGCAGTTCTTGTACAATAGTCCACAAACTACATAGGAAAAAGAAATTGCATTAAAAATATCTTCTGTAACAAATTCAATCGAGAAGGACATTCTAATATAAGAATCGTGTTTCAGTATTTTAATCGTTTGGTCATCCTTTCTTGCATTACTTGGTAGCAACAATTACAATATCAAAGCGGTTATGTTGTACAGTTTTAATCATGATTATGTAGGTGATTTGTTATATTAAATTAATTGATAAATCCTAGGTAAACACTTATCTTGATGAGGTTTGACAGAACCAATGCAAAAAAGAATAACTGCAAATGGAATTAAGTAACATGGGTGCATGTTCTTCTGCAAGCTAGCTAGGAAAAAAGTGGATAGATTATGGGTCATATTTCATTCCATTCCATTCCGGGTAGAAAGATTGCAACATAATATGTGTGTATACACATAGGTATAGTTACACACATATTAATTTAAACATATGGATATATATAATTTTTTTGTATTTTTCGAATATCATGTTTAGGTTGTACCACCTTCTAATATATATACTAGGTGCATTTTGATCTTCAAAAGTCCCTTCTTTTGAGAGGTCAGTTGGGTTTTATAGTACCATCCATGGGACACATGTCAGAAATCTAGCTGAGTCAAGTTATGTGGTGCTTAGTTACGGGACAATCAGATCGGTCATGCTACGTGTTAGTATTGAAAAAATTAAAGTTGATGGGATTGATGAGATTCATTTCTTAGGCCTTCTGTCCGTTCAACCGAGCTCAGTATCCTGACCATTTAGGTTGAGATGCACACTAACTAGCTCGGGATACAGTTGAAAAATACTCAACGCTCTATATTCTCCTATCTCCAGTAGAATCTTTTCAATTATAAAGATTAATTTTTTTTCTTGAAATCAGTAATTCGGATTAAGTCTTTTCGATAGGGAGTGTGTATGTGTATGTATAGTGAGACCCATAAACTAGGAATGATTGCAATTGATGTTACAAAGAAGAAGGTTGCATGATCACGTGGATAAAGTGGAGGGGAGGCCATGAGGGATGCTTTACTTTCATTAGGCAAAGAACAACTATCCAATATTAATCATCTCATCCCTACTCCTCTTTATATATCATTCTTCATATATGTACACTTATAGCATGTATGTGAATATATATATATATATATATATATATATATATATATATATATATATATATATATGTTCCAAGAAAAGGCTGCCCCATTAGCCTAACATGATTGGGCACATGATGCCCCCCACCGGATCACCATGTGCATTTTCCCATTTAATTAAGTTTTCCTTAACCAATATGAAGTATCATGTCACATGATAATTAGTTAATTAGTTTTGTTAATTATTAATTAACTACTTTGTGTGCTCGTGCTTACACCAATGAGGGGATTCTATTAGGAATGGTAATAGATTTGGGTGTGCAAAAGGGAGAGAGAGAAAGTCAAGATTCCATCTCTTATCACCATGCACCATTACACAAAGATACACAAAGAGAGTGGAGCAAAAAAGTTGATAGATCTAACAATCTCTAAGAAACTTTGGATTTTCTATAGAACTTGTTAACAATCTCTAAACTCAATGCTTATAAAATAAAGTTGCTATGTAGTTAAAATTTTTATTTGAGTAGTTTTTGGTTCGAATTTTAATATACATGAAAGTTTAATATGAGAGCAATATCGTTCGATGAGATAAAGTGTCTAAATTAATCTAATTGGATTATTATAACTCAATCCAAATGTCTTAATCTAGTTATCCAAAATTGGCGAGAAGTCGCGTGGTTGAAGAATGAGGTAAAGATGCTAAAGTGAAATTACCCTTTTGTCTATGGATTTAACCTTGGTTTGAGAGAAATCTGTCCGGAAGGTCAAATTGACTACAATTTAAAGATTTGAGAGACCCAACTGAATGAATTTGACAGTAAGGAATTACATTGCAGATCGGGCAACAATTGAGGGACCAAAAATGTAATTTTTCCAACTATAAATATTTTTTAAAAACATATAAAATCAAACATTTTTATTCTACTATTAAAACACTTGTAAATTAAAATTTTACAACCGTTAAAATCCTTTACATATCTTGAATTGAATCAAATTTGTTAGCTAGCTAGCTATCAATTACTTGAACATGGGTAGCTGAAATTCCTTCATTCATAAGAATGGATAAATGATGAATAGGGGGTATCAAAGTCAAGGAGGATAAAGACACAATGAAAGCAAAATCATTAAAATTTTACTAACTTAGATCATTGGGAATCCGAAATGCACATGTCAAGTTGTTGGATTCAAATTTGCACTTGAAGCACCCCCTACGTGTCATATAACCTGGGTTCTAGGTTCCTGGCACCTGGAAAAACACAACTAATATTCTTGATAATGTTCTGGATCAGATCTAGATAATACTCTGTCAGGTTTTGTTACAAAATTGTTAATCCACTCATCTTGGAAATCCCATAATTTTGTGTATTTTATGAATCTAGATAATGGTCTGTCTATACTTACTCTAAAAGTTTTAGTTTTAAAAAAATACAGAATGAACTTTAACAATTTATAAATGGTAAAAATGAAATGTTGCACTATATGACTACTAAGTAGAGCAGAATTTGCCGGTATAGGCAGCTCAGTTGATTACGGGTAAAGTTTAAAATCAATGACTCATGATCGAGTCTCACCAACAGCAAGGGGAGCTCCTTGTGCGCAACAGTAAGTATGAGTTACATCCTCTCAGATACTCTATCGGGCCCTTGAGGTTGGGGATTCAATCTTTTGGGACAGAGTAAAGCAAAACTTGCCCACATAGGCAGCTCAGTTAATCACAGGAGCAACAGTAAGCATGATTTACGTTCTCCCACCGAACCCTTAGGACTGGAAATTCAACCTTTTGGAAACACAATAAAGCAGCAGAATACTATTAGAGATGAAATCATTTATTAGTAGATACCATATTAGCATGGAGAAGCTTCACTACATCTCTGACATTACATACATTGCCATCTTCTATAGCTCCTTTTGCATAAAGTTAAAATCTTGAAAAAATCTGTAGCAATCAAGAAATGAGGTCATTGTAAGATTGGGAATGATTGTCAAAGTATATTTTACCTCCTTCTATACGCAAAGAAAGAAAAATGAATGATGGAAGAACAGGCAAGGGAATGAATGAGGATAGTTGAGATAGTTGTAGGCCATAATGTTTGCAAGGGAATCAAGAGAACTTTTACCAAACTAGCTAGCAGTTGTTCAATGAATAATTAATTTTGGGCCTATGAATTGATTGTGGAGTTGTCATGTATGTTTTTGACAATGGTACACAACTAAGGTTGTTTTGGCAGCTTCCCTTTCTTCATTTCATCATATGAATCAATTAATAGCCTCATTTATCATCACAGAGTTGCCATGTGTCCAAAATTTAAAATATCTTTTAATTAATTTGAGCCTATTTAAAATTATAAATGTGCAATCCAACTATCAGCTTAAACTTTTAGTTGATATGGAGTACATGCTTTAATTTGGTATCAGAACCATGCCAAATATGACAGAAAATTTAAAATAATAGCTAATTTTGAAATGCAACTTAAAATAGCATTTTAAAATAAACTAGTAGCTAGCCACTTTTGTTTATAAGCTAAATATGCCAAACAGATAGCATCATTCACTATCATGAATTCATGACCCTATTTTACAAATTGTAAGGTTTATATTTCCAGACATGACCCCATATCTCAAATCCTTTACAATACTATCACAGCTCACCAGCCATCATAGGCCCCTCATCAAATACAAATCCAATGAACCTTGGCTCAAGTGTTCAACACATCAAAGATAACTGTCAAAGAAGTTCTTGCATTCAATAATAACAATAAACAGTGCAAAATCACAGCAATTCATTTCTTAAAATCAGAACCTGAGCTAAAATGGTGCAATTTGTATAGCCTAAAGTTACCCAAAAAAGAAGAGTCTCTTTAGGGGGTATCACTATATCTGAATGTCTGTGTGGTAAGCTGTTCACAACAATGAATTACAAAATTTTCAAGAAATAAATGTGAAAATGAATCAAGTCAATCTTGGTGTTGTTCCTAGTTCTTCGGCGGTTAGTAAGGCCACCGAATCAACCAAAAAAATGAAGTCAAGGTGGCATGCAACAACATTCTGATTCTTTTTAGTAATCACTGCATTAGTTGAATCACGGTATTCCCATGATGCACATGCAGTCCTTGCTAGAGCAGAGTAGATTAAACGGAATCACCACAGTTTGCCCGTTCACAAATGCTCTTAATAACTTCGGAGTAGAAGCCCCAATTAGCGCTATTTTCACTAATTGCCGGTTGCCCAAATGGATGCTCCTCAACATATTTCTGCACATGTTCAGCCTCTGCCAAGTTTTCCAAATACATACGAAGGTCACCTCCAGGACCTGAAATATAAATGGAGAGTCGCTTCTATGAGTGCCAGGAAGTTTGCACCATCTTAAACCAACATAAATAAAAGGGTTCAGACATACAGCTGAGATTACTATGTAGTATATAACATTCTTGAAAGGGCAATTGAAATTTTAGTTGCAAAACTTGAAAAGGATTCTAGGAACTGCTTCATGAATGATGCTGATGGCAAAAGCAAACAATTGTGTGAAAGCAACTTACCTAATGAGTTATCATCTTTAAGCCTGTAGTTGAAGGAATCAGGAAAGATTGTGGTGTGAACCTGGGAATGATGACAGTATAAACCAAAGAAACAATTATAAAAACAAATAGCTGGTAAAAATAAGCTTAAAATTAGAGGCCTGTATTAGAACAGAATAGGGGATAACTTACAGGATTAAGAAGGGCCTTGTATGGAGAATCATCCAATAACAATGTGTTTGACTCATCAAAGTCTCCTTTATCCCAATGTTTTTCCCATATTTTCCTTAAATCCTTACAAACCAAGGGTTTATGCTTGATTTCAAGAGTCTTGTATCTGGTCATGGTACAATGAGACATATCCTGCAAAACACAGCACATAGAACTCAGAAACTTCTTGTGTAAAGCTGAGAAAATGAATAACCAGTTAATGAACTTATTTTTATAACAAACTTCTATTTTAGAAGATTTGCAAAAGACAAAGAAAAAAATAGCTTAGAGGTGTTTTTATATGTGTTACTATTAGAAGAAAAAACACCAAAACAGGCAGTGTTCATGTACCTTGCCACCTTTTCGATCATAATAATGTGATTAAAGTAAGTAATTCTTATTTCAGTTGCCCAAAAAAAAAAAAACCTAAAAGAGTGGCCAATCAATCAATGAAAAATATTGGTGGGGGTGACAAATAAAATGAAGCCCAGAATTTTCCACGCGGCTCTAGAAGATTTGAATAACGAATGATACCCAGCAAAATAACAACTTGTGCTTCAGATCTCCCAATAAATAATCCACCACTCGAACAATAATTCTCCTGCATATTACATATATGCTACTTAGTGCATTATGAAAAGGGTCAAGGATAAATGATAGAAGATCATACAAGACTAATATGAAGAAATTGACAAAGCAAACATCAAAAGTAAAGTTGAGTACTTGGATCTAGACGACCAGATTGCCACATGGAATCTCTCAAAGCAAAACTTCAGAAAATCATCACAGAAGGGTCTCTTGAATACTGCAAAGGAAATTAATAATTAGCTAATTCCAAACCAATCATTATGTATGAACAAAATTAGCCTAAGGTCATTCACCGATTAAAAAATTGTAAGCTATTAAACTCATCACAGAAGGGCCAAAGCAACATTAGCTAACTGCAAATCAACCATTACATGTGATAGAATTAGCTTGACAACATTGTGTCAATGTGGCGCCAGAATTATGTCATGATTCTCATGATTCATGCAAGGTAATAAATTGCTAATTGCAATCAAGCATTACATGTAAATAAAATTAGCCTAAAATCATTGATTTCTTTCAAAAGTGTGCAATATTAAACTCACTTGCTCGTCCTGAAATGCCTGTATCAGCTTTACAGTCTTTTGGATGTGGTAAGACTATATCTGCAAGTAGGCCATTCAAATCAAGGATGAGCAGTTTCCTCCTCAAAGGAGTGCCATGATGCATGGTAACCTCTGCACTAGATGGAAGATGGGTCCCCACACTGCAACTTTCAACTGAATTCTTCTCAGGGAGAGCTAAATACGACCCACTTTCATAATTTTCACAAGTTGTTGTGGTAGCCTTAACAGTAGGAGTGAGCTCTGTTTGAATGGAAACAACATTCACATCCTCAGGACACAACTTTACAGCTCCTGCACCCAGAACTTCAGTCTCTTCTCTTGCAAAAGCACTAGATGGAAGATGGGTCCCCACACTGCAACTTTCAACTGAATTCTTCTCAGGGAAAGCTAAATACGACCCATTTTCATAACTTTCACAAGTTGTTGTGGTAGCCTTAACAGTAGGAGTGAGCTCTGTTTGAACGGAAACAACATTCACATCCTCAGGACACAACTTTACAGATCCTGCACCCAGAACTTCAGTCTCTTCTCTCGCAAAAGATAATGAGTCTTGTGTTGCAGTCTTAACATTATCTATGTTATTGTCTGTTGCCTTCTTTACCTTTCTTATCTTCTTTTTCTTTTTCTTCTCTTGGTTATCAGGTGGCAGCAGTTGTTCAGTTAACTCTACATGCTGATCATCACTTGTGGGTTCAATGTTTTCTCCTCTCTTCCTCTTTAGTCCATTTGCAATCTTTAGCTCAAGATTGCTGAGTGAACTGATATCTCTCTTGTGATGCACTGGCGCAAGTACTTTAGCAGTTGACTCTACATCAATAACATTACTTGCCGGTTTATTTAGCTTTTTTTTCTTCCACCTCTTCTTTTTTCCACTTGCACTCTTTTCCCCACTTTCACTCTTCTTCTCTATTTCGGTCATATTTATATCACTCTCTTGATTCTTTGGTACCAGTAATTTGGCAGTTGAATCTACAACAAGAACATTGCTTGCCGGTTTATTTAGCTTTTTTTTCTTCCACCTCTTCTTTTTTCCACTTGCACTCTTTTCCCCACTTTCACTCTTCTTCTCTATTTCGGTCATATTTATATCACTCTCTTGATTCTTGGGTGCCAGTAGTTTGGCAGTTGAATCTACATCAAGAACATTGCTTGTGGGTTTATTTAGATTCTTTTTCTTCCTCTTCTTCTGTTTCCTATTTCCACTCTTTACCTCAAGGTTATTGGCCAAATTCATGTCTAGCCCTTGAAGCTCTTGAGCTGGCAATTGTACAGCTGACTCTGCATTGGGAAAAGTAACCTGTAGGGGCTCTTGAGCTGGCAATTGTACAGATGACTCTGCATTGGGAAGAGTAACCTGTAGATTTATATCTCTCTCTTGATACTTTGGTGCCAGTTGTTTGGCAGTTGAATCTACATCAAGAACATTGCTTGTGGATTTATTTAGATTCTTTTGCTTCCTCTTCTTCTGCTTTCTATTTCCACTCTTTACCTCAAGGTTATCGGCCAAATTCATATCTAACCCTTGAAGTTCTTGAGCTGGCAATTGTACAGTTGACTCTGCATTGGGAAAAGCAACCTGTAGGGGCTCTTGAGTTGGCAATTGTACAGCTGACTCTGCATTGGGAAAAGTAACCTGTAGATTAGTCATGGCTGCAGTACAATTCTTTTTATTTTTCTTCATCTTCCTCTTCTTTTTCCCAGCCACATTGTTTTCCAAATGATTTTCGATTGGATTTAGGTCCAAGTCCATAGGATTTGTAGAAGGAAATTTTGCAGCTGATTCTACTTCAAGAAGAGCATTTTGACAGCTAACTGCGGCTGTGGTTGGCACAATATCCCTAGACTGATGCTCTGGAAACGGCAAGAGGTCAGCTGAATCTGCTTGCATCAGAGTAGCCACAGTAGTATTAACACCAGAAGGGCTTTGTTTGTTGCTATAAGTTTCCAAAATTGTATTATCCTCATTCACACTTTGTTGTTCAACCTTTTTCTTCTTCTTCTTCCTCTTGTTTTTCCCAGCCACATTGTTTTCCAACTGATTTCCGATTGGATTTAGGTCCAAGTCCATAGGCTTTGTTGAAGGAAATTTTGCAGCTGATTCTACCTCAAGAAGAGCATTTTGACAGCTAACTGTGGCTGTGGTTGGCACAATATCCCTAGACTGATGCTTTGGAAACGGCAAGAGGTCAGCTGGATCTGCTTGCATCAGAGTATCCACAGTTGTATTAACATCAGAAGGGCTTTGTTTGTTGCTATTACTTTCCAAAATTGTATTATCCTCATTCACACTTCGTTGCTCAACCTTTTTCTCTGCCTCGCTCCTATCTCTTCTCCTGTTCTTTCTCCTGCTCATCTTCTTTGGTTCTCGTTGTTAGATGCTTCGGTCAAATTTTACATTCATTGAAGTTTGTCTTGAAATAAAAGGAAAAAGGAAAATCCCCAGTTTAAATAACTTTCCAAATGTTCACTAGATGCACCAATTCTCCTGACTGTCTACAAACTCATTTCACTCTCAGTTTTCCTATTCATCCTAGACAACAACAACAAAAAAAACAGCAAGAAACTTAAGGCATAGATAAATCCCCAAAGCAACTATGTCGAATCTTATTAGTTACAGTGAGAATAAATCAGAGCACAAACATTTTTTTTTTTTTGAAAATTTGGTTTTCCCTCATTATCACACACAAAATGAAGCATATACAGACTGCATTCAAGAGGTTATTATCACAAAACAGTAATCCAGCAGAGATCAATCATATATGGGATTACAAGAAATAGATATGAAGTCCCCCACCCCCCATAAAAGCAGTTCCAAAAACAAAAGATAAGCACACTAGTAAGGCTATGTCCTATCAATCAAAGATCATAAATTTGTAATCTTTGCATGTTACTTGCAGCCTACTCAATAATCTTCCTCATACCCAACAGACAACACAACCGCATGACTGCATAGTTTATACTGCAAAACATAAATGCAAGGGAATTGAATAACAAAATCCAAGCATAAAAATCCGAATGGGCTAACTGTCAATATCCTCACAAGTGCACGCCATATATACACTTACACAGATACATATAGAAACAGAGAAATTGAAGAGAAGAAAGGGATAGGGAATTTTACGGCAATTAACGAAAAAAGATAAACTCCTCACCTTTCACCGGAGAGGTTCACCGCCGGATTTGATGGTGCTTGGCTGCGGGCAAGAAGAAAGAGGAAACCGCACACGTTCAATGAAGTGGGATGGGGTTTCGGCGTCATTTATTCGGGCCGTTACCAAATTTGAACTGTCGGGCCTAAATAAATCAACCCAATATATAGCCCATAAAAAGAAATGGATCAAATATGATATGAAATTTAACATTTTGTGATTATTAAACTTTTGTTCACGGAATTTTGGATTACCCCAGGAAGGCGCAAATTATGTTATGCAACTGTGTGCACTATACGGTTGTAAAAACGACATCATTTTGACTAAAAACGCGCGCTTTCACTTAAAAAAAAAAAATATGTTCGATTTTCGGTAATAGCATTTTTTTGTGCATAATTTGAATTATATATTCACAAATTCATAACTATATATCCACAAGTTCATAACTATATATCCACAAATTCATAACTATATATCCACAGTGAATGAATAACACAAAATCCATAATGAATGAACTAAATATCCACAATGAATGAACTAAACATCCACAATGAATGAACTAAATATCCACAAATTCATAACTATATATCCACAAATTCATAACTATATATCAACAAATTCATAACTATATATCAACAAAAATTCATAACTATATATCCACAATAATGTTGTTGAAGGGAATCGAAACTGATTTTTTTTTTTAAATGTGACGCGCGTTTTTAGTCAAAACGACGTCGTTTTGCAACCGTGTGCATGGTGTACACGGTTGCACAGCATAACTATTGCCAGGAAGGTAATGTGACATTTTAAGAATATAAGATTACTTTATGTGTTTGGTTTGGATTGTGTAATATAATACTTTGTTTGGTTAAAGGTTATATGTTAGGTTATATGGATCAATTTACAATAATATCCTTAATATATATATGTGTATGTGTGCGTGTGTGCGCGTGTGTGCGCGTGTGTATTTATTTATTTATATGTATGAATGTATTATGTATATGCTTAAATATTACTAAAAAAAAACTAAATAAATAAATATATAGCCATGTATATTAAACATATATTAATTTCATCATTATCATATTATTATTATTATTATTATTATTATTATTATTATTATTATTATTATTAGTTAACATGGGCAAAGTTTGAATAATTCAAGGTAATCTAAGATTATCAAAGAAATTTCTTAAGAAAAAGGGTTAAATTGGTTCACTAAGTTAATCAGATAGTGTAGTTCAGTTCTCATAAATAAATAAAAACTCCATTCAAATCTTTTAAATCAATGAAATTATTCAATTGAGTCCAAATTAACTTTAACAAATTAATTCTTTGTAGGGTTGACATGTGTCTTTTTATTTTAAAAAAATTATTTATTTATTAAAATTTAAAAAAAAAAAAATCACAATCATCGATGTCTTCTTCACGAATAGCCACGACTGTCTAAAGATGACGTCTTCTAGATCTATAATAACGGTGGCGACCATCGACTATGGCCGTTGCCCTCGTTCTAGACCTGGAGGTCTTCCTTAGACAGTGGTGGTTGTATTCATATATATATATATATATATATATATATATGTGTGTGTGTGTGTGTGTGTGTGTGTGTGTGTGTGTAAAAGGGAGAGAGGATGAGAGAAAATTGGCTTAATAGCTTTATTATTTCATCTTGTATGGAGAGAGAGTATATAAGGGAGAAAACCCCTCTTGAATATTCTAGAGAGAAGAAGATAAAAAGGCCTCCATTGGCTTTCTGAGTGAATGGCCTTTATATAGGTCCAAACAATGACTATTTGACTTTGATCCGATACGGACTCTGACTCGACTATCGTATAGGAGCATGAAACGTATAAGAAGGTCAAATCTGGAGATTATTCTTTATTAATAATTTTAATAAGTAAACAAAAAGTTTTTTAAAGAATACAAAACAAAAATGAAACGTGTCAACCCTACGAAGAATTAACTTACTGAACAAGTTAATTATGATTCAATTAAACAATTTTACAGATTTAGGAGATTAGAATGTGACTTTTTTTTTTTTTTTTTTTTTTTTTTTTGTAACTTATGTGACTCAATTGCACAAATTTATAAGAGTATGGCACTAATGAAAATATATAGAGCGTATATATCCGTTTTTGATCGTATTTGACAATGGTACAGTAGCACTCTTCTCAACCTACGAGAGTAGGAAGTCAACCTTGTCCATACAAATGAATAACACGTGAAGTATCTTTTCAGTCATCCTATTAACCCAATTCACCTCAAAAAAGTAGGCACGTTGCTTGACCGATTTGATTAACGCCATTTACCTCAATCAACAACATCTGTGCCCCCAATTCAGTACTATAAAAGCTAGTTTTAATTCTCGTATGAAATTAGGAGGGGTTGTTGGAGATTCTTATGTTCTTTGTGTGTTCTAACCTAACTTGAACTTCAATTCCAAACTTTGAACTTTAGAAAATTCATGTGCATTAAGATCTTTGATATATATAAAGAATTAGTGTGTAATTAATTAATGGAAGAAACAAACCAAGTTGGATCGCAGTCCATATGCCCTCAGTCAACATGACATAATTATAACACTGAAGGACGAAAAGCAATGGATTATGGCTACCTTATATTAGCTGATCTCCATGGATCCAAAGGGGTTGGACCACACAAACCCAGCTCAAAAGTGCACCTCCATGCACGTGTGACATTCTTTAATTGCCACTCTCGCCATTTTTAAATAATTTTATAATCAAAACATTAATCACAATACAAACTAAATCATTATTTGAATGAAATCAGAAAAATTCACAATTACTATTTGAAGATATACACTGGGCAAATATCGTTCTTCACTCATGTGTAATAGTTTGCAAATTACATATAATAAATAAAGTGCACTATGAAAATCATCTGATCATGTGCCACGAACTTAACTGAGAGAGTTTTGACAAAAATATACAAATGACCTTCTGATACGATAATCATATACTATACTCACTTAATCACCCTTTTGGATCCAAGCTAAATCATTTTAAACGAAATGATCGAGTTGTCATTTTTATACTGATAATAATAATGAAATTGATATATAGATGCCCTCATAAACCAATCATGCCAAGTTTCCCCATATGTTACCTACCTGCCTTGCTCCACGCCTCCACCATACATGAAAATACCATTCTCTATCATAATATTGTATATTTTTTAAGTACTACCGATTCTGCTACAATGTAACATATGTTCCTAATATTGTATATAATACATATATACAGAGTAATATATAGAGGATTAAGTATTTTCGAAACACCACCTCAATAATTTATAATAAATTGACAATTCATCGTTTAAAGGCATATATATGTTTAAAGATTCGGATTCGCTATATATTTACACAGGAAAAGCAAAAGTCGAGAGATTCATATCTGTTAGTTTAAAGTAAGAGCAAAAAAAAAAAAAAAAACGCACAAACACACACACAAGTGACACAACCCTATTATTCAGGAACCGACCACACAATTCAAACACAATCCATGCTAGCATATTTTTATTTCTTTAGTTTTTCGTTTCCAGCCATGAATAAGAGCCGTGTGACGGTGACGTCTAATCATATCGTCTGCCACCCTGCCAAACACTTCATATACTAATTATTCGATTAATATAGTAATAATAATTGTTTAGTTTGTGATAATCTACATGATACTTAAATTAGATCGGGGTAAAAGATATAAAATTACACTACAATATAAAAAATTAGGAGATGGGAATGTATGATATATAAGTTGTGCATAGATTGGCTAAGGGCGGGTTGAAGTTGTCGAACTAGATACTACGGTCTATGGAGTATAATATAAGAGTCTAGTACGATGATAGATTATCATATGACTAGTTGTAGAGAGGTACTATTTATTATACACAATGTTCGGATTATTGTGATAATGACTTACAATAAGAGGAACTGACATGGTACGTTGTCATTGGTGAAAGGTAGAAGGTAGTCGGTCAATTTATACAACAGTTCATTCACTTGCACATTAGTTATAGCTCGCAACAACTCCCTCAATTGTATCATTGTATGTTGATCGTACCTGACTGACTTCTGGTTGTAACGGTCCCAATAAATTGGACCTTTGATATTAATTCTTTAAACTTATTAATGTGGTTATTAACTTTATTGAAGTTTTCTATAACTCCACTAAAACACAACAAGCTTTATTTTGAATTATATTTCTGAATTTTTTTCTCCATTAATGAGTGCCTTTTTCCTTACCAACATATCTTGCTTCAAAAGTTATGCCGAAAGAAAATACTAAAGGCCGGCAAGCAGGCTTCATATGATACCACAACAACAATGCATATGATATTCATGCATGTATACACTTTATATTTATATTTCTATGTTTATAAATGTGTATGTACTTGTGTGGACATGTCACATGTACATACAGTTTCAACCATGCAATCAACAACGTACATACTTATAGTTTCATCCGCAATATAATGAAAGGGGAAACCTAGCAATGTAGTTTTCAATATAAATATTTGTTTAAATGTTGTATGCATATGCAGATATGACATTCATTCATATATATAATATATATCGGAGTATCCAACTGCTTGTTACTGCATTTATTCCCTCATTAATGGGAAATTGTTACGTCTCCAACTCTAGAAGGTACAGTCTCAACTCTCAAGACTCCAGTTATGGTATTCAAGAAAGTAGTCATGCATTATGAGTGATGAGAAAAAACGAGATCAAGAAATCAATATTTACCTGGTTCGACAGTGTTTTTACATTCACCGGAGAAATATTTTTTATTAATTGTGGTGATAATCTTCTCCCAAAAGGTTAAATCTTCAATCACAAATGTTCTCTACATTCTAGTCCGACAGACCATTTGCAGAATGTAAATCATGGTAATTCAATAATTAGACTACATACCAGTGTGCATAAGATATCTGTCCACTTTAATTAATCTGATACAGTTACAAAACTATCCATGTATCCAACCCTATTATAGACCAATATGCATGGCGAATTGAATTAAATGACAACGTCGTAAAAGTCCATTTTGGGCGAACATGGTCCAACGACGGGACCAAACATTTTTGCAGGGATGAGGTAAAAGCAGGCGCCCAAGTCTACCCCTAGTTAAGGCAATCATATTGTGTGAATCAGGGTTGATACAAGTGTGTGGTTATGTGGACTATATTATTAAATAATATACATTCAGTATATATATAAATGATGTATTCTTTTTGTATATTAAAAATATATATTATATTAAAAAAATACATTATTTGAGTACTAAAAGCATATTTTATTATATAATGTATATTCAGTACATTTTTTAGTATATTAAAAACATATTTTTTTATGATGATTCACACAATAATCTGTCTAGTTTAAGCAAGGCTCTTTGAATTAGAAACCATAAAACTACATGCATGAAAGTCAATAAACGCAGCATTCGGTCCACAGTTGATATGGATGGCTAACAACCACACATTCTTCGTTTAATGATGTTAGTCAATTTTTGCTATTCTATGATTGCTTCAAATCATCATCGTTTCATGCTATACCATTTGTCGTTATTTTAGTTGATTGATTGTTAATTTTTAAGGTGATTTCTTTTTTTTTTTTTGGTTCATTTTATAAGATTGATGCATATCGATCATGCGATGAGTCATGTCGGGATATAAGTTCAAGATGATTGATGGGTTTAGTGGGAGGCAATGTGAAATAAGTTGTTGATTAGTCTTATTGATCGAGTGGGACTGATTAAGTCGTGATTAAAGTGAAGCAATTACGTTTAACAATTACTACATTAGTGAGATTCACGTAAGTACATGGATCATGCATTATTGTTTGTATGTGAAAGAGAGTTTTGCACATTGCATATAATTTAAGTGAAGGCCATGAAAAATGTGAGATTTTCTCTATTCGATGGGGGTTCCAATTCCACAAGATGGTGAGGCTTAATAATTTATTGTTAAATTATATATAACGCTACATATAGAACCCTATTATATATACTGTGAGTGTTCACATCTCAATCATGTGTGTACATGTATTCACACATATGGGATTTTCGTGACAGCGTTTCACGAATCATTTTTTTTTTTTTTTTTTGAAAGTCGCTGGATCTATTACATTGTAGTATCTGTTCATATACTTTCTCAACCTACTGAAACACAAAGAACCAATAACGCCTCCACTGAGGTTCGAACTCATAATCTTCCAAATGGAAGTCCAACCCGGGTACCATTAGACCACATAGTCCTGGTACGAATCATTTACTTATACAGAAAAATATAATATAATACTTTTAGGGGGAGTTTGGTTCAGGTTATATAACATAACCAACGGAATGTGACATTCCAAAACTCACATTCCTATGTTTGGTTCACATTATCTCAGGGAATCTAACATTCTCCAGGAATGTCACATTCCCTCCACATAGGATTTTGAACGGAATGTGATTCCCTTCAATTTCTAAGGTTATGTAAGATAACCTTGGTTATGTTAGTTTATTACACACACACACACACACACACACACACACACACACACACACACACACACACACACACACATATATATATATATATATATATATATATATATATATAATTATTTTTGTAATTATATATTTTTTATTTTTATTATGTTAGGTTAGCATATAAAATAATTTTGTTTCTCAAGTTCAATATTTTAGTTAATATTTTAAAATCATGTAATTATATATGATACCGTTATCTTATTTATTTATTTTAATTTTTAAATTTATTAAAATATATAAAAATATGTTAAGGATATTATAGTGTGTGAATAAAAGATAACCCTAAACCAAACATGATTATATTACATACCCCAATTTTAACCAAACACAGGAATCTAACATTCCCAGTAATCTAACATTCCCAGCAATCTAACATTCCTTAAGGTAATCTGACATTCCGTGAACCAAACGACCCCTTAATAAAAAAAAGTAATACTTTTACATATCAAAATGTAAAAGTATTACATTTTTCTTCAAAAATATTATGTTTTCCCTTATAAATAACAAAAGCACTTTATTCTTAATTAGTATTACATTTGCTAATATAAGTATTACATTTCATATTGACCTGACGTGTCTAACGGACAAGGATCTATGGTCTCACACAAGTTTTAAAATAGAATAGTTTGACTTCGCTTAGCAAAAAAAAAAAAAAAGTCATCAATTTTCGTATAAAGATTATCTGTCCCATTTTCTTTACATCCTTAACCTACCACCATTCTTCATTCACATTCTTAGAGCATCCACAATAGTGGATTTTGGAAGGTTTTAAAGCATATATGTGGATGAGAGAGAAATATGAGATAGTGTCTAAAGTCTTCGCCGGATGTGTTTGGTTTTTGCAGGAATAATAGTGAGCCCACTAAATAAACAAAAAAGTTCCCTAATGCGCGTGGGGTGCACCAGAAACGCCCAGCGGGGTGCATTATTTTCTTTGCTGTTTTTTTTCTTCTTTCCCTTCTTTTTCACATGTTCTTTCTCTTAGTCACCTAAACAAAAACTATGCCTAATGAGGATGCTTATGCACTAAACAACAATAACTTGGTTTGTGCTGCGTTTAATTTGGAACAAATTTATATTGTTAAGAATAATCCTCTGAGAGTACAATTAGTATTTCAATTCCAATGTTGCTATTTGAGGTAATCTCATATGAGTTTAGCTACACCTTCAATTAGTTTGGAAGACAATTATGGGCAAAGCGTAAGTTAGGATTCATACTATAAACACTCCAAAACATTAATAATGTCGGGTAGGTGGCTTTTGAATGTCATTTGTTAATTTTGTCATACTTTTGACTTCTCAAGTAATTCCAAACTTGTCCCCAAATTCCAGTCCATATATGTACGCTCCCATATTTCAGTATTCCACACTCATCTTCCATGCCACCCACCGAATTTAATTTCCTTTTCTCGTTTCCGTGTCAACCTACGCCTTTCATCCTCCATTGTGAAATTGCAACTTTAACCAAGAATTATCGCAATGGCAAACCACATTGCAAATTCTAATTATCAGTAACATTTTATAAACTACACGAGAGAGATAAATTGTAGCATAAATCGCATTACACAATAGAAATAACTTGTAGTGTAAATCCTGCTTATAATCAGGCACGAGAGGCATGCTCTATCTACTTAACCACTCAGTTTCGATAGGAAAAATAAGATTTTTCATGTGGTCAACCAATAGTGTTTAGTCTTATTTCCGGTCGAACTTCACATATTGTGAACTTGAAGTGTCACTGGAACGTTTTGACCAATCACTAATGACAAAAACATTTTGCATGTACACAGGCCAAGAAAATCTAAAATAATACGAGTAACCTTCATAAATCTTAACGAACATTCATAAAGTCTATGATATAGTCCGATAGAATTTGAAAACAAAATCATAAAAGAAATTATTTTTTTCATATAGGAAATCATATGTTCGAATTCTATTGAGACAGTGATTCTTTGTGCTTTAATAAGTTAACAGGTATTACATTGTAATAGTGTAAGTATTACTAAAAAAAAAAAAACATTTCTATATTTTTTCTTTGAACAATAATCATGAAATTCCGGCCCACCATTTTCCCCACTACTCCACTCTTTAAAAACTAGCGTAATCAGCGTCATCAGTGCTGCTACTGTAAAGTAACCATGTTCTCGCACTTCTGCTCCTTCTTCGCCTGAAATCTACGCCCACGCTTATGCGTACGCGTATATATACTGTAGAAGATTGTCGTGTACAGTCGTCGCGCATACCGGTTGCATGTGAAAACCAATCAGAATGGGGCTTTGTTTCTCGCGGAGGGAGACCCCGAAGAAGCGGCCGTCGAAGCGTATAGCGCACCAATCCTCTGCTGTCGGCGGAGGGAGCAGTAGGTGGGGTAGGAATCGATCGTCCAGGAAGGATGGAATGGTAATTCAGGACCCGGCGCTCGCCGCCGCGATTCTGTTCCAGCAGCAGATGCAGAACGGCGGCGGCGGCGGCGGTTTGGCGTTTGATCGTTCCGCCTCGCTCCGTTATCCCGGCTCCAACTCGAAGAAGAATCATCAGGCGTTGCCTCGGAGCTCGAGCTCCAGAGCTCGCTCGCTAACTGATCCCCTGCTTCAACCTCACCAACTGGTTAATAAGGTGGTTCTATACTCCTATACTGCTTATTCGTATTGAATCTGCTTCCTCTATTTGTTCAATGTATTTAATTTCAGTTTCCATTTCGTTTTCAAATCAGCAGTTGATAATTGATTGATCGAATCGCTTTTAAGAGAATTCTTTACCATTTCTGTCCAATTGATAAGATTCAAGCAGACAGAGATCACGCATTTAACTTATTTGAAACTCTCCTCCCATCAATGAATTGGATCTTATTGCTGTTCGACGAAATGATAACTATTTGTTTGCCTATAGTTCGAGGATCAAAACATTTGCATCAAAAGTAATGCATTTTGTTTTTAAATCTGTGCAATTCCATTTGTTTCAGGATATAAAGCTTGATGAATTAGAGACCAGCCATTTTGTCCTTGTTCATGGTGGTGGTTTTGGGGCTTGGTGCTGGTATAAAACCATTGCACTTCTGGAAGGAGCTGGATTTAAAGTTACTGCTGTAGATTTAACTGGTTCAGGAATTCATTCTTTTGACACAAATAGTATAGCCAGCCTGTCACAGTATGTGAAGCCACTCACTGATTTTTTTGAAAAGCTTGTTGATGGAGAGAAGGTTATTTTATTCATTTCAGCTTTTTTTTACCTTTGTGAATTTTTCTATGTTCTTTTATGCTTTGAAATAAATCTTGAATGCCTGTATGGCTGTATATATAGGATTTTACAATTGTCTGCTTATGAATTCTGCAATATGGGCACCAATGCACTAGAATTTTGATAATAAGCCTTGGCCTTGTGAGCCATGTATAAGGATTGTGGATAGGATTACTAACAATAGCTATAGCTATATATTTGATTTCTGCATATATCTAATGGCTAATCTTTTCGTTATTAAAGACACACACCAAAAAAAAAGGACTCAATTTTTGTGCACATTTTGATTGATTTTTAGTATTAAGCTTATTGTTTTCTTTGTACTTACTCTTTTTGAACATACAGGTGATTTTGGTAGGGCATGATTTTGGTGGTGCTTGTATATCATATGCTATGGAGCTTTTCCCTGCTAAAGTCTCGAAAGCTGTTTTCATTGCAGCGGCTATGTTGACTAGTGGGCAGAGTACCCTGGATATGTTCTCTCAAAAGGTATGCGTTATCACTTCTATTGAATAATTTGTGGGCAATAGATTGTTTTTACACGCAGTTTGTTTTCTACAACTTGATTTCTCTCCATTTCTTTGTCCTTTGCTAAGTTGATCGTGTATATTTGCCTGGAATGCTTCACTCACTGTTAAATACGGTATTGCAGACAGATTCGAATGATCTGATGCAACAGGCTCAACTATTTATTTATGCCAATGGGAACAACAATCCCCCAACTGCCATTGACCTGGACAAATCACTCCTGAGGGACTTACTATTTAACCAGAGTCCCGCTAAGGTAAGTTATCTTTCTAGTAGCAGCAAATAAAATATCTCCTTGATGCCTAAACTACTGTCAATAGCAGGATTGCAAAGTTGATTCAGACTATCATCATAACTATGGAATTTGTGGTTTCCATCTTCAGGATGTTGCATTAGCATCTGTGTCAATGAGGCCTATCCCCTTTTCACCTGTTCTGGAGAAGCTCTCTTTGTCAGACCTCAAGTATGGCTCCGTTAGACGGTTCTATGTTGAAACTCCAGAAGATAATGCAATACCCATTGCTTTACAACGGAACATGATTACCCAAAGTCGTCCAGAACAAGTTTTTCATCTCAAGGGCGCCGATCACTCGCCATTCTTCTCAAAGCCACAAGCCCTGCATAAAACACTGGTAGAGATCTCAATGATCCCTTAATTATTCTATGTAAAGTTCCTTTTGCTCGTCCCTTGTAAAATTTTATCAACATGTCTGAATATCAAAATGCAATCAACAGAGATATATGTAATGGTATAGCCTTGTTTCTAGCTCATCATTTATGAGCCATTCCTTTTAACAAAGAATTGTCAATTCTTGTTTTGTAATGCCTATGGCACTTTGTAAAAGTCACTGACAATAAAATATTGTGTTAAAAGATTATTGGTTTACGGATTATTACACATGTCAACACCCTTCTTAGAACTCGTTTTTTTTTTAATCCAAAAAAATAAAAAGGGATAATACATTATCTTAAGAATCATAAAAATGATTATGGGCACACAGATTACTGGCGTGTTTGGTTGTGGAAAGACGCAGATGTTAACATCATACCGAAACAGTGACCTATCACTTGCTCACGCCAAACGGCCGTCTTTATCGAAATGGTGCGTTTTGTGGGTCTTCTTTCTCTCTCGGCGCTCCCTGAAAACGACGTTTAAACCACATATTCGCTCCTTTATAATCCCCCCTCTCACTCAACAGTTGCTGGGGGGTCGAAAACTCACAAGATTCAAAGTAGCAGGTGCGATTTCGAAGCATTCTCGCATTTCTCGTATGTTCTTCACCTTTTAAAAGTTCTCTAAATCCTTTTTGTTGTTGTTGTGAATCCTGCAGTATTCGGTGAGAAATTGATAGCGAAGAATGGGGCGTGGAGTTAGTGCTGGAGGTGGACAGAGTTCTTTGGGTTACCTGTTTGGAGCTGGAGAGGCACCGGCGGCTGCTCAAAGCCGCCGTGAAAAAGCTTCTTCTTCGCCTGCCGCCGCTCCACAACCTGCGGATAACAGCAAGCAGGTTGCCGCCGGCATTCTCAGCAGTAACGCAAACAACTATGTCCGTGGAGATGGTCAGAACTGTGGCAACTTTCTAACGGTATGACATGTGCTAGACTGCTAGTAAAATAGATTGCTGATATTCTATATTATATTATATTTAAGTCACTGCCTTAGAAACATGAATTTCACTTGATTGCAGGAAAGGCGTTCGACGAAAGTCCAAGCTGCACCTGGCGGCGGCTCTTCCCTGGGTTATCTGTTTGGAGGTGGAAGCAGCAATTGATGCCCCCATCACTTCCCTGTTGGAGTTGGGTTGTTCTACCTAACCTTCCCCAACGCAAGTTTCTCAAATCTCGTATGTATGATCTACAAAAGGAGCTCTGCTGTCGCTCGTTTGGAGCCATATTTTGTTTGTTTGTTTGTTTGATATGTTTGTTCATTGTTTAGAAGATTTCAAATGTTGATTGTGCATATTTGTTGTTAGTTTCCCTTGTGTCTTATGCAAACCGCATTCTGTTTACCTGTCTCTCTTCCAGTCTTCCCATTACCTATCAGTCAAAAACCATCAATTTGACAGTGAAGGAAACTGCATTGAGCAAAAAATGTTTTGCCCCAAAAGATCACACCTCAGTTCTAGCCAAGTGCATCCATCACACAGGGATCAACAATACTTGATCGATTTTGAACATTTGCGAATCAATCTAGTTAGACCTTACAGAATACAATAGTTATGCTGTGCAACCGAATGTACCATGCGCATGGTGCATACGGTTCAAAACGACGTCGTTTTGATTAAAAACGCGCATCCCACTTAAAAAAAAATTCAAGTTCGACTCTCAGCAATAGCATTATTGTGGATATATAGTTATGAAATTGTGGTTATATAGTTATGAATTTATGGATATTTAGTTCATTCATTGTGGATATTTAGTTCAATCATATATTGTGGATATTTAGTTCATTCATTGTGAATTTTTACTTCATTCATTCATTCATTGTGGATTTTTACTTCATTCATTCACTGTGGATATATAGTTATGAAATTGTGGATATATAGTTATGAAATTGTGGTTATATAGTTATAAATTTCTGGATATATAAAAATGCTATTGCCGAGAATCGAACCTGATTTCTTTTTTAAGTGGGACGCGCGTTTTTTTAACCAAAACGGCGCCGTTTTGCAACCGTATGCACCTTGCAAGGTGCATTCGGTTGCACAGGATAATAGAATATCAAAAGATGAAGCTGGGGTTTTCAAGTTTGGGCTAAATGTATCATTGGTTTTAGTAGTAAATGGACCAAAGAATTAATTGGAGATGAGCCCGTTACGTGGAATGGGCTAGTCTAGGACATATTCGCAGTGAAGTATTTCCAATTTGCATGGGCAAATTATTGTGTATACCATGAATTTAATATATTTTTTTAATATATATCAAAAATACATTATTTGTGTACTGAATGTACATTATTTGATAATATATAAAAAAATATGTAATTTTAAATAATGTATTTTTTATATATTAAAAATGTACTTTTTATTTATGGTTCACACAAATGTATGGACCATAGTCCATGGAATAATGATTGATTTGCATGGGAGTAGGCATAGTTATCCTTATTCGATTCAGACTTTCGTAGAGTTTTTAAAAGTCTAATGATATTCAAAATTTTATTAACTTTCATAGACTCTATCAGAATATGATTTTTGTATACTTTTTCTTCATTAATATAAATAGATGAAATCCAACTCCAAACTTTTCAACTTTCTCTACAAACTTTTTCCTCTTTATCTAAATCAACGGTGCGTTTCGAACCTTTTTAATAAATACTCATATTTATTTTATTTTTATCTCTTTATTTTCATACATATTTATATAAAAAAAAAACATAACAAAAATTATTATAAAAATTATTATTTACTGTTGTTCATAGCAAAAATTTTTACTACGAATTGAACTCTACATCAAGTTTTAGATTTTGATTGAATTTAATATATTATTGGTTCGTATATATTTAGTTATTTTATTTTATAATATAAATTTGTTCCGAATATTAATATTATCTAAATTAATTTTTTGTGTGATCTTAATAGGTTATTGGTTCATATATATTTTTAATTATGTTATATATTGATTTAAATTTATTTTGAATATAAAATGTACAAACCTTACATATATTAAATTTAAAAATTAAAATTAAATTCATTCTATTTTAATGAAATATACTTCAAAAATAGTATAAAAATCACTTAAATTAAACTTATGTTAAACAAGTTTTATGAATATAAAACATAGAACAGAAAGCAGTTAAAAACTGAACAAAAAAGATTTTTATATTAAGACAAAATCTAGATTTGAATTTATTTACCATCTAGTAATTTCCATTGGATGTACTAAAATAAAAATAAATGATATATTTTTTAATTGAGTTAAAAGAGATTTTAGAAATATAACAAGTAAAATAAAATATATCAGAAATTTAAGAAATTATATAAATTTTGAAAAATATACCTATTGTTTTATTCAGGACTCAATTCTATTCCCGACAGAGATAGGGTTTTAACCCGTCCAGGCTGCACTATATCTTTTGAAGCTAGGGTTTCTTCTTTTCTGTAATCTCTGCTGCGCCATCGGCAATCGTTTTCTCAGATCAATACTCCGGCGCATCCAATATGACGACCGTCGTTCCAACTTCCGAGGAAGATCCCGCGCTTTCCGTGGTCAGGTTCACTGCCGAGATGTCTTGGGCTGAAGCCGGTCCTGAGGTTCGAAGCTCTATTGATATTTTCGTCGTTTATTTCTATAATTTTCTTTGCACGCATGCTGTGTTTGTTTCAATCGATGGTCCAGCTGAATGTATGTGCTGTTTGCTAGTTTTATTTCCAAAAAACTCTATACATTTATATCAACTTCAATATTTTAAATATTATGTTATGTAATTTTTAGTTATTTGATCTCCAAAACGATGAATTAACAATATGACATTGTTTGTGGAAAGATTATGTATGGACTGGATTTACATGGTGGTTTCCTTTGATAGGTTGCAGAGCCTCAGGTTAGTCGACTGTGCATAGAAGCACAGGAGCGTATGGTGGGAGGCAGGTGGTTGGATTTGGTGGACTTGATGCTCACATCTGCAGACTTGGTATTTTCAAAAGCTTCTGATAAAGGTAATGCCCTAATTGGTACTCTATAATCTTTAACTACTTTCTGAAGACATGTTTTGATTATTTCCACTTTATAGTACTTGGAAAGTTTTGCAGTTAATAGGTTATACTTCTATGTGAATTGGATCTAAAAATTTGCTTTAGTGAAGAAAAATTATAAGTGACATTTTTTTAATGTAATCCTTTTGGATTATATTTGTTTGCTGGATTGGTTTCCTTCTCAGTCTTCCCAACAGAAATCATGCTTATATTCATGTTGGCTAACTGTTATGTGAAGTCAATAGGCTTCAAGTCATGCTTGAATAAATTTTCTTTCATCCATTTGAAGCAACTCCCTTCTACTGTCTGTATCTAAATGAATTTTGTTTTTTTTTTTTTTCATGTTGCATCTTTGGAGTATAATGCACTTTTCTATTTATCATACTGCCATTTGTTGGTTTTCTCCAGATCTTGAGTGCATTTTCACTATAATTTCCAACCTTGTGAAGAAGCCTGAGAGTGTTGAACAAGTACGTCAGATGGCAGAGCTTATATCCTCAAAAGTCACGCAGCAACCAAATGACAAACCTTTGTTGCGCTTAAAAATGTAAGACTTCTCAATATTGATTTTTATTTTAACTCCAAAGATGAAAGTTATATCATTTTTGTCTCATTGTGTTTTTTGTTTTCTCTTTTCAGCTTGTTCAACCTGTATAATCTACTGGATGACCCTATTAGCCGCTTTCTTGTTTACAAGAAGGCCCTTAATTTGGCAATCAGTGGAAAGGCCACTGAACATGTTCTATCATCGTTTAAAAAGATAGACAATATTTTGAAGGAATGGGACCTTGGGGTGGAGGATCAGAGGGAGCTCTTTCGCACAGTTTCTAATATTTTGAAAGAACATAAGGGGTGAGAAGCGGATGGGCTGCTGAAAAATAATTTTTCAGTTTATTTAAATTGATGCTTGAAATTAATCTAAAAGATAGTTTATTTATTTATTTATTTAAACTCCATTAAAATTCCAGGTATACAAAAGAGTCTTTCAAGTTTCTTATTAGGTATCTGGCAACATTTTCTGGTGATGATGCACATACTATGAATGAATCTAAGGATGCTGCTGTCAATACTATTATTGAATTTGTTAAAGTGCCTGACATGTATCAGGTATCAGTGTTTCTTACTAAATTTTGAAATTTCTTTACATGGGATTCAGTCGACATTGGTCAATTTTGCTGTCCATTTCGTCTTCATAATTACATAGTAGTTTTTATTTTAATTTTTCTGAGATAAGGTTGGCTTAATTGTTGACATTCCCTCTTATATATATGGTTGTGTAATTTGCTATTTGAGATTCCCATGTGTATTAGCCTTTTAGGTTTTTGGTTAGAAGTATTATTTATTCTGTTCTGTCATGGAGTCTCATTGATTGTGGGTTGTTTTACATTGCAGTGTGATTTGCTTGAAATACCAGCTGTAGCACAATTGGAGAAGGATGCTAAATATGCTCTGGTGTATCAACTTCTTAAGATCTTTTTGACTCAGAGGTTGGATGCATACTTGGATTTCCAAGCAGCTAATTCCACTTTATTGAAAAGCTATGGTAACTATATGTTCCATTACTTGAGACTTAGACTTCTAGATACATCAATTCCCATGTTTTGGCCGCTTGTAGTTCATTTTTACTGACTTTGTCTTTTCTGATAATATAGGACTTGTCCATGAAGATTGCATTGCAAAGATGAGGTTGATGTCATTGGTGGATCTAGGATCCAGTGAATCTGGTCGAATTCCTTATTCTGTGATCAAGGATGTTCTGCGGGTAAAATCTTTTATGTAATGTTTTAATTAGTGTTTTTTTCTCGGACATGCAAACAGAGACACATTTATTTGTTTAATTCAATTTCATTACTGATCAAGTTGGTGCATATATGACTGTAGATTGATGACAATGAAGTTGAGCCATGGGTTGTCAAGGCAATTACAGCAAAGTTAATTGATTGCAAGATTGATCAAATGAATCAAGTAATAATTGTGAGGTACACTTTGAGCTTCACCCTTTGACATCTTCTATCACTCCTTGTTTATGGGAGAATATTGGGGGTTTTAAGCCCTTTGTGGTTGATATGCTTTACTCTTGGGTGTTGCAGCCGTTCAATTGAACGAGTGTATGGTCCAAACCAGTGGAAAGCCCTCAGAACAAAGCTTGAAACATGGAAGGTAAATAATCTTTTATTTAATTTCATGTGTGCCATAACTTGATAATTTGATAATGCCATTGGTTGACCATGCTGTATCTATCTGCTTTGCTATTGAGGTTTTAGTCTATTCCCTGCAAGATGTGTTACAATCCATCCTCAATATAATGTTCATTTGCCTTGTTATAAATTCTTAGTGTTAGTTTGGTTCATGTTATGTGCTCAAGAATGTTACATTACCTTACCTACAAGATAATGTATTTTGCCCTTGTTTGGTTTCTAGGGAGTTAATGTGAGATTCTTGGGGATGTGGTAACATGAGCGAAATACGCTATTAATGTTGTGATGTTTTCAAATGCTGTGTTAACAAAATATATTTTGCAGGGTAATATTGCCAATCTTATTAGCACTATTCAAGCGAACAAAGTAGTCGAAGATGGCTCACAAGCAGCAATGCAAGGATTAACGATTCGCTGAGATTTTTTTGCTATGTAGTACAATTTTTCTGTTAAACTTGATAGAATTTGAGACACTACTGCCTGCCCATATACTGCAATATCTGGTTTTAGTCAGACAATATGAGTAATCTGAATGCTCAATGCAAGAGTTTTGCTTTTGCTTCTCTCTTCCAACTCTGCAATTTCATTACTTTTTATGTCAAATGACAATTGGTTTATACGAGAATGTAAACTTCTCTGAAGACATTAAAGAACATTGACTTTGCGCAGAAAGATGTCCCACTAATTATTTAAGTTAGCCTTTCAAAAAAAAAATTATTTTAGTTAAGATCAAATGTATTTCCACAATCTTCGCCACAAAAATTAAGAAATAAAAAACAGGTGTAAAATTACTTTTTATGTCAAATGACAATTGGTTTATACGAGTGTTGGTGCTTTTTTCTTCAGATGTGAACATGTTCTCGACCTTTTTTAAGTGAAAAATGATTAATGTCAGGTTCCTACTAAACTTCTGACTTTGCGCAGAAAGATGTCCCACTAATTATTTAAGTTACGATCAAATTTATTTCCACAATCTTCGCCACGAAAATTAAGAGATAAAAAACAGGTGTAAAATTACTTAGTACAAAGACTTTGGCAAATAAAAAGGCAACCGGCAGGCCGACGAAATAGACATTGCAGCCTTGCAGTTATCATGTCTTCAACCATTTCCATGGTAATATGGTATCGGTATACTTACCAATAAAATATATCACAACAACTAAATTGACATTATTATTAAAAGAAGAAGAAAAAAAGAAACTAAAGGGAACCTTATTCTAATAGTCTTCTAGTCTAGACTATGATATTTGCAAAGAAAAAATAACAATCTTCAACCATTTCCATGGTAATATGGTATCGGTATACCTCAGTCCTGACTCCTGATCAATAAAATATATCACAACAACTAAATTGACATTATTATTAAAAGAAGAAAAAAAGAAACTAAAGGGAAACTTATTTCTAATAGTCTTCTAGTCTAGAATATGATATTTGCAAAGAAAAATGTTTCATTGGTTAATAAGAGCTACTAACACGGCATTTAATATTTAATTCAAGACAAGTAAACTAGAAAATAGAGATTGCAATGCTAGGAAGTTTACCGGGGGATCACCATTTCTCCACCAAGTCTCATTTTTATGCTCAGAACTTGAATCAGTTGGAAAGCATAACCCAATACCTCAACAGCAACAATATGCATCATCCTCTGTTTTTTATTCTTATATCCTGTACGTTATTCCATGGTATGATCATCTTTGCCATTTCTTCTACCATTAATTCACCTATTGAGAACATAGCCATTTCGTGTGGCTCTTCTGGCACTCCAACTGCACCTGATGGACGCATGTGGGTTGGAGACAATACCATGTCTTCTTCTACATTGCTGCACTTGAATGGAATATCCTGGACGTCTACAGCCCAGCAAAAAGCTTCTCTCATGATTGATCCACTTCCATATCAGACAGCTCGGACCTCTCGCCATGAGTTCAGCTACCGGTTCTCTGTCAAGCCGGGCCAGAAATTTATCCGCTTGCACTTCAACCCAGCGCCATACAAGGGTTTCAAGAAGTCCATAGCCCTTTTTACTGTCAAAGCTGGTCCATACACTCTCCTAAGCAATTTCAGCCCTTCCCTCACTGCTGATGCTCTAGGTGTCAAATTTCTCAACAAGGAATACAGTGTTAATGTACAGGAAAGTGAAGCGTTGACTATAACATTCACCCCATCCCAAGAAACAAAGTCCTCAGAAGATGTTTATGCTTTTGTCAATGGCATTGAGATTGTCTCCATGCCTACTGGTCTTTACTATACCCCAGAGGGAGAGCCAGGTGCCCATGTTATTGGCCAAAAGCACAGATTCTACATTGATACTGCTACAGCACTGCAGATGATTCAGAGATTAAACATCGGGGGACGGTCAATCCCATCTATTGAAGATGTCAGCATGTTTCGTGACTGGAAAGATGACTACAACTACCTGTTAAATGGAGTTGGTGCTGCTTCAACTTATACAACCATTACAATTGAGTATGCTGACATGCTGACACATGTTGCACCTCCCAAAGTGTACCAAACAGCAAGGTCAGTGCATCCAGGCAAGCAGCAGCTCATTGCTCACAATCTCACATGGATAATTCCAGTAAATTTAGGATTCAGGTACCTAGTCAGGCTCCATTTCTGTGAATTTGAACCTGAAATATCAGCAAGAGGTGAAAGGCAATTCAGTATACTTATAAATAATCAGATAGCCGAATATAATGCTGATGTGATCAAATGGAGTGGTGGACATGGGATTGCAGTGTACAAAGACTACATTGCAATGATGGAAGGAGATAGAATGAAAGGTACAGGCACTCTAGTCATAAGTTTGCAGCCCAACTCTGACTTCAGCACTAAAAGAACTGACGGCATTCTGAATGGCTTAGAAATATTCAAGCTAAGTAATCCTGACAACTATCTTGTGGGAATGAATCCTGCCCCCCAACGCAAACAAAGTTCAGTGTCAGAGATGCCGAGTCACCAAAGGCCAGTGTTTTTTGATAGAAAGAGTGCAATTGTTACTGCATTCACAGTAGCAGTCACTTTACTGAATATTGCCATCTATTATCTAAGGTGTCTCTCAGAAGCTAACTCCAACATGAGAAACACAAGATCTCGTTCCACAGACCCAGCTTGTCATCAATTCTCACTTGAGGAGATCCAACTATCCACCAACAATTTTAGTCCTAAGTTCCTCATTGGAAGTGGTGGATATGGTAAAGTATACAAGGGCATTATTGATGGCGGAGCAACTACTGTAGCAATTAAGCGTTTGAAGGAAGAATCTAGGCAGGGAGAGAATGAGTTTTGGACAGAGATCAAAATGCTATCAAAGGTCCGAAATGAACACCTTGTCTCCCTAATTGGCTTTTGCAATGAAGGTACGGAGAGGGTGTTGGTTTATGAGTACATGCCACGAGGAACTGTTGCAGACCATCTCCACAAAATTGATAGAAAGGGGAACGGTAACCCCCCTCTCTCTTGGGAAAGACGACTCAAGATTTCAATAGGTGCTGCCCGGGGATTACATTTCCTTCACACCTCCCAGCATAAGGTTATACACCGTGACGTAAAAAGCTCAAACATTCTGCTGGATGAGAGTTGGGTGGCAAAGATTTCAGATTTTGGTTTGTCCAAAATGGGGCCTGGAAATGAGTCCTTCACTCATGTTAGTACTGATGTCAAAGGAACATTTGGCTACTTGGATCCTGAATACTTTTTAACTCACAGATTGACAACAAAATCTGACGTTTATGCTTTTGGAGTAGTGCTGCTTGAAGTGCTCACCGGAAGGCCAGCACTGGATAAGAGGCTTGTTGAGCAAGGCCACAATCTAGCCACTTGGGCCATAGACTACATGAGAAAAGGAGATGTTCATGATATTGTTGATGACAGTCTGGCGGGGCAAGTCTCTCAAACTTGTTTGAAAGTGTTTGCAGAAATTGCAGAAAGATGTTTGGGCAGACAGCCACATGAACGACCAGATATGGCTGATGTGCTAACAAAACTTGAATTAGTGTTGGCGTTACAGCAAAAGGAGGCACAAAATGAGGGCATGAGTATTGATAGACTTGGAACTCTCTCAGAAGAGAATATGGTGGCACCTAAAGGCAAAGGAAAAGATATTCTCATGGGAAGGGTGGAGAAGAAGGATAGGAATTCCAAAAGAAAGTCTGTTCGATGGAGGGATCTTTTCCTCGTCCGGCCAAAATCACCACCCAAGACGAAAACTCCCGAAACATTGCCATCACAGCTTGAGGTTTCCACAACAAAGCATGAAGGACCACGCATCTTCTCTGTGAATGAAATCCTAAAGGCCACTAACAATTTCAACCAGAGTTCTATTATTGGTTCTGGGAAAGGTTATGATGTGTTCCTGGGTTTACATGGTGGCAAAAGTATTGTAGTCATCAGAAGGGCCATCATTACAGTATTAAGTGATCGCCTGGATCAAGAGTTGCAGTTTCGCCATTCCCATCTCCCTTTGCCCAGCTATGCTGATAATGTTGTCTCTTTGATTGGATATTGCACTATTGATCAACATATGATCAATGTATATGATCACATGGCAAATGGGAGTCTGCGAGATCATCTGCGTAAACCTGACGTGGACACTCTCCCATGGAAGCAAAGGCTTAAAATCTGCATTGATGCTGCACGAGGTTTGTACTACCTTCAGCAAATCTTGAAGCTGAGTATTCTCCACCACACATTCAACTCAACCAACATTCTGCTGGACGAGAATTGGGTTGCTAAAGTTTCAGACTTGGGTTGGTCTAGAAGTAAAGACGACTCTAGTTGGTGCAGAAAGGAAGTTTACAGTCTTGACCTTCATGGTGGGTATATGGATTCACTCGATTTATATCACATAAGAACAGAAGTAAAAGACTATGCATATGCATTTGGTTTACTGTTAATCGAAGTATTATGCGCCAACAATAAATTGATACTCCAGATGGACAAGGATTTGGAGAGTGCAGCCTGCTGGTTCACCACACAAGGAAGATGGAGACATTCAAGATTCATAGACCCAAGCCTTGTTGGGAAAATATCGCCAGACTGCCTGCAGATATTCATTGACATTGCAAGCACGTGTCTGCGCAACCTTAAACCATCACTGCGCGAGATTGTGACACGTCTCGAGGCTGCACTCAAGTTGCAAGAAGCAGCAGATGACAATAAGGAGCTTCAGGTTCTCTGAAACTAAAAAACAGAAACTATATTGCTCTAGTGTATCAATGCCACCATTCAGAAACAGAACTTCATTTTCTTTTCTTTCATCCAGACTGCAAATTGTAGCTGAAAAAGTTTGTTGTATGTGTTCCTTACATCCTAAACTTATTATGCCATTTTCATAAAAGCAAGTTCACATTCTCTTTCCTCAGCTTCATATGATTTTTTTTTGTCTTTAGCATTTTAAATCCCAAACATTAATGGTCAATAACTCGAACTTTACCATGAAGATAAACTCCAATTCACACACAATTTCTGTCGGCAGAACAAACTCACAGCCACTTAGCGTGAATTGCTTGAAAGAGACGTAAGAAAATAAAAATATAGGGGAAAATCGAATCAACTCGCTGGTAAGTGCTCGCAATCCGTACCTGTAACAGATGCGAGACATTGTCTTCTTCCACAAAATCCGAAAACGGCTGCCCTAAGAGGTCCGTCAAGTTAGTGCTGGAGGATACAGACAGCGAAGGTGTAACGTACTAGGGTTGTGAAAGAAGAATTGAGAAGAGAAGAGAAGAAGGTTGAGAGAATAGAGACTGTGTATTCAGTAAAAATTGCATAATTCATTCATACAAATTCTCAGCTTATTAAGCCGCACAAAGCCTAACTGCATAACAAATTAGCTGCTTTGGAAAGGGATGGAATGATGCTTGAAACGGTGTCGTATGGACGTGAGTAACGGCTAACTTCTCACTTAATCAAACGACGTCGTCGTAGTCCAACGGCTAGCTGATTTAGTGGAACGACGTCGCTTTCATCCCTTCTTCAACTTCTTTAACTGTTCCTTCAGACGATATCGTTTCTTCCCCTTTTTCCACCCTTATGCCTTCTATCCCATTTTCATTGCTTTCTTCCAGGTGTGTTACAGTACCCTCCTTTGCAGGAGATCTTTGTCCCCAAGGATCAAAGGAGGGGAATTGGCTTCGAATGTGGTAGTAGTCCTCCCAAGTAGCATCCTCAATTGGAAGATTCCCCCATTGAACTAGAATCTGGGTGATGGCTTGGTTCTTTCTCTTAACCAACCTCTTCCCCAACACTGCCACTGGCTCTGCTAAGACCTGCCCTTCTTCTCCAGTGACTGGAGGGTCCTGCTGGACTATGACTCCATCTCCCACCCTTTTCTTAAGCTGGGAGACATGGAAGACAGGATGAAGGAGAGCCCCAGGAGGTAATGTAAGTTTATAGGCCACTGTCCCAACCTTTTCACACACTTGATAAGGCCCGAAATATTTAGATGATAGCTTCAAATTCTTCCTTATTCCAATGAAACCTGCCTATAGGGTTGTATCTTTAAATACACCCAATCTCCCACTTGAAGAGTTCTTTCACTTCTTCCCTTGTCAGCTTGCAACTTCATTCTACTTTGTGCCTGTTGCAAGTTGTCTTTCAAAGCTGCCAACACAGCATTTCTTTCATTCATCCAAGTAAGTTCAGTCTTGTTACTGCCAATGTTGCAAAACACGCTAGGCGCACCCTAGGCAGTAAGGGGGCGCCTAGGCGCCGATTTTTTTAATTTTTTTTATTAAAAATAAAATTAAAAATTAAAAATTTATTAAAATTTAGTAATAAAACATAAGATTTCTATAGTTATTTCTTAGAAACTATTTACGAAAGTGGTTGTAAAATTGTTCAAAAGATTGTTTAAACCATCTAAATACATTAAAAACTAAAATTAAGAGCTAAAGAAGCATTTTTTTGAGAAATTAGTGGACCAAACCGCCTTCGGTGGATAGATCTCGAAAAAATACGCGATTTGAAAAAAAAATTGTCCAAATCAGACAACCGAGTCAAAAGTTATGCCTTCCGAAACTTTTCCGTCATTTTCAAAAAAAAAAAAAAAAAGAAACATCGAACCGCCGAACCGGCCGGTTAGGCGGTCTAGGCGGTCGCCTAGACCGCCTAGCCGGCCGCGGAGGAGGCCGCCGAGGACATTCCTCGCGGCGGCCTCCTAGCGCCTAGCGCCTAGGCGCGATTTTTGCAACACTGGTTACTGCTGGAACTTAAGGCCATGAGGGGGGGGGGGGGGGGAAATAACCATATAATGCCTGGAAGGGAGGGTACTTGGTAGAGGAGTAATAGTTGGTGTTATACCACCACTCTGCCAAGTGCAACCATTTAACCCATGCTTTAGGCCTTTGAAAGACCATACACCTCAAGTACCCTTCTAAGCACTCGTTAACTCTCTCAGTTTGCCCATCAGTCTGGGGATGGTAAGCTGTGGATAATTTGAGTTGAACCTGCATACTTTTGAACAGGGACTGCCAGAACTTGCTGATGAATACCCTATCCCTATCAGAGATGATTTCCTTAGGCAACCCATGTAATTTGTAGATATTTTCCATAAAGGCTTCTGCCACTGTCTCAGCACTATATGGATGATGCAGGGCAATAAAATGGCCATACTTTGTGAGTCTATCCACCACCACCAAAATGACCTCCATTCCATGTGATTTGGGAAGCCCTTCAATAAAATTAAGGGAGATGCTTTGCCAAGCTTCTCCTGGAATCTCCAAGGGTTGTAGCAGCCTTGGACTAGCCACATTCTCATTTTTACATCTCTGGCAAACATCACATTTCCTTGCCAATTCAATCACATCAGCCTTCAACCCCTTCCAATAGAAGAGTGCCTTAACTCTTTGATAAGTGCCATTCTGTCCAGAGTGGCCTCCAAGGGATGGCTCATGCAGTTGTGAGATGAGTTTCCCTCTTAGTCCTCCAGATTGCCCAATGTACAGCCTGTTCATGTACTTCAGAAGTCCCCCCACTACAGACACATCAGGATTGGCAGCAGGATCCACTAATACTGCTGTCAATGTTTCATTAGCTCAGCTATCCTGATCATAGCTTTGGATCACTTCTTCAACCCACTGAGGTTGGACTACAGAAATTGAGTAAATTTCTGCCTCCTTTCCAGACTCTCTTCTGGATAGGGCATCAGCTGCTCCATTGTCCACCCCTTTCTTGTATTGTATAGCATAGTCCAGTCCTAGGAGCTTAGTTAGGCCCTTTTGTTGTAGAGAGGTGGTAATCTTCTGTTCCAGCAAGTATTTGAGGCTATGATGATCAGTTTTGATGACAAAGTGTCTTCCCAGCAAGTATGGTCTCCACTTCTCCACAACATTAATAATGGATAGATACTCCTTTTCATATATGGACATCCCTAGATGTTTCTCACCAAAAGCCTTGCTAAAGAAAGCAATTGGTTTACTCTCTTGGAGGAAGACTGATGAGCATATTTTATACCTTAATTTAAATAAGATTTTATAGACTAGTTTTATTATTTATATTGTATATAAAATTTGGCAGGGTTGTCGAAGCCCTACAAATTTTGGCGCCGTTGCCGGGGAACTAATATCGTTTCTTGAATTTGTTATTTTTTTTTCTTTCTTTCTTTGTGATTGTTTCTGTTGTCCTTAGTGTTGCATGACTCGTTCCTCTCATTCAGGAGAATTACAATATATCCCTGAGATTGAGAAAGTCGCAAGGCAACTAAGGAAAGAAACAAAGCAAAGGAATAGCTCCTCGAGTTCTGAAGAGGTAAATTCAACCTGTGATCCAGTAAACGAGGAGGTTGCAAGTAAAATGACTGAACCAAATAATAGAACACTTAGGGAGTTAGCTGCACCGGATCTAAACCAACAACCTCTATGCATAACAATACCAAATCTTGAGGTTGATTTTGCTTTAAAATCTGGTTTGATTCATTTACTCCCTATTTTTCGAGGTTTGGCTGGTGAAGACCCACATAAACACTTGAAAGGGTTTCAAGTAGTTTGTGCAGGTATGAAACCACGTGGGGTGACTGATGAGCATATAAGTCTTAGAGCATTTCCATTTTCATTAAAAGATAAAGCAAAAGATTGGCTCTATAATCTTTCCCCTAATTCAGTTAACACGTGGAATGATGTGAAAAAATTATTTCTAGAAAAATTCTTCCCTGCATCTAGGGCAACTAATATTAGGAAGGAAATATATGGGATAAGACAATGTACAGGTGAAACATTGTACGAGTATTGGGAAAGATTCAAGGAGTTGTGTTCTAGCTGTCCACACCATCAAATCTCAGACCAACACCTGATACAATACTTTTATGAAGGGCTGTTACCTACGGATAGAAGTATGGTAGATGCAGCTAGTGGTGGTTCTTTGGCTGACAAGACACCCACGGATGCTAGACAATTAATATCAACCATGACAGAAAATTCTCAACAATATGGGACACGTGCGGATGGATCTATTCGTAGAGTTAACGAGGTAAGTACTTCTCAACTTGAAAATAAAATTTCAGATTTGACTACTCTTGTGCGTCAAATGGCTGTAGGACAAATGCAATCTACGGAAGCATGTGGAATATGTTCATTTGTCGGGCATCCCACAAACATGTGCCCAACATTGCAAAATCCAAATCAAGAGTTGAATGCAATAGGGGGATTTCCTGGTCAACCCAACCGAAAATATGATCCCTTTTCAAACCAGTATAATCCCGGATGGAGAGATCATCCAAACTTGAGCTATGGGAATCAAGGGGCGCAACCAAGGTTTCAAAATCATAATTTTAGACAATTCCAAACACCTCAGCAATCTCAACCCCAAACTTCAAATTCAGGTATGTCTTTAGATGAAATTGTTAAAGCACTTGCTAATAACACTCAACAGTTTCAACAAGAAACAAGAGCAAGTATTCAACAATTGGGCAATCAAGTTTCTCAATTAGCCACATCTGTTAGCAAGTTGGAAGCCCAAGCTTCGGGAAAGCTACCATCACAAACGGAGGTAAACCCTAAAGAAAATGTAAATGCAATCACATTGAGGAGTGGTAAGCAACTTCAGCCTGAATCTCCATTATCAGTGGAAGAGGAAAAAGAAGGAAAATCAAAGGAGGAAAGTGAGTCTACGGCTAATGAAAAATCCAAGGTAAGTTCTGAATCTTCTTTTGGTCAATATGATTCATCTCTACCCCCTTTTCCT